GTGCATTTTAACCAAATACTCAAAAAAAACTTTGTGGACATGCAGCGTAAGGCATTAAATATTGTTATGCCTAAAACACTAAATAAATCCATTCATATCAATTAGCACATCTTATAGAAATTACAGATGATTTGGCATTATGGAAATTACATACTCCCAAATCCACATCTATACTTATGAAAATATAGCAGGACAAAAGAAAACCAAATATGCCATAATGCAATTGAATCGGTGTGAAAAAGCCACTGAAATAAGTTTGCCACCAATAAAACCCTATAGTTTCTTGGCAAATATATGTAGCCTTGGTAGCAAGGTCTGATGCAAAGTATAGTTAACTATATATATATAATGTCGAGAGAGAACATATCAAGACAAATTCAACTTTGCAGCCACATTGGATTCTAATTTCAAAAATGCAAAATATAAGCTCAATAATATGCATGCTCATCAAGAAGCAATATCAGTTCTACAAAGAACATGTTCTGTATAATGAAGCTGCATTTTTACTTCTGATATCAAAGTGTAAATAGAAGCTGTGTGCAAGATCCTTTCAACAAGAATATAATTCATAATTATATTACCTACAGCATTCACATGATATCTAAGATTATAGCATGCACAGCACGGCACCTCACATAATTTGCATCCACAATATTTTACATTTTTACTCAAAATTTGTGGCAGCATTCAAAACAGATCCATTATTCACATCATATACTCAACTTTGCATTTACTAGATTATCAACAATATTGCACAAGCTAAGCAAAATAGAATCTGACCTCAAGAATGCTGCGCTGTTGTATCCTTTTACCTCGAGGCAGCCAAAGAAACAGAAAAGCCAAAGCTTCAACCTCCATTCGCCTTCATCAATGTCCTCTTTTCTAACACAATTGAACATGTTAAACACCTGCTTCTCAGTTTATTTAGGATGTAGAGCAAAGTACTGATAACGTGTTGTATTGCAAGTTAGTTTGCAGGCCTTTAGCTCGTGAAGAACAGTAAGAACGAGAATAAGAGTAGAAAGATGAGGGAGAAAAGGATGATAGATCCATTCATCATCATCCATCATAGTACAATGATATATATACAAGATACACTAAAGGCATACAATAATGAAGGATAATTACATCCGTTACAGACGTTACAAAGCTACTATATTAATGTCCACCATAAGTTTTATTTATAACAGAATGGTGGCTAATGCTACCACCTAAAAGGCGGATATAGAATAATAAAATAGGAAAATAATTAATATAAAACTTGAAATTCTATTAACTTAAAAATTTATATTTATAGGTTTATTATGATAACAATAAATCATAAAAATCATTTGTAAGAAAGGAAACCAAAATATTTTTACTTACTGTTTAGCTTCTCCATGGGAGCTCTGATAGGAAACGGGAAACCTAACGGATCGGAGTGAATGCCGAGCTGGGTAGTGAGTGAAGAAGCAATAATCTAAGTTGGATGGGAATTTATATTTATATATAAGAGAGAAATTGATGTTAATTTAAACCTGTTTGGAATAGAATTATTGAATTAGAAAATTCAACCCTGATATGAATAGGAAAAAGTGATAGTTGGCGCCAAATTTAGAAAATATAGGCATATAACCGTCATAGAGAAAAGCTGACATGACACTAGGGCAATCTAGTGACGTATGTATACATCAACTTAAATATTTTTATTAAGAATAATGGTCAAATAGAACCTTAAAAAACAATTGAATCCCTAAATTAACTAATTTCATGTAATTCATCAAATTTACAGGTTTCTAATAGGTCAACCTAAATTAAAGATTTTTTTTAAAAAAATAATTATCATTAAAAAACAGATATTTCGGTCGGAGACGAAGCCGCCGGAAGTCTTCTTCTTCTTCTTCTTCTTTTTTTTTTTTTTTTTTTTTAATTTTAAATAATTGTTTTTTAAATTTTATTTTTAAAAAATATTTTAATTTGGGATAACCTGTTGAAACATGGGAATTTGAGAAATTACATAAAATTAGTTAGTTTAGGGACTCAATTATAGATTCTTTTAAGTTCATTGGCCTAATTACATTATTGTGTGTAGTTCGATGGCCTATTTGACTCTTATTCCTTTTTATTACTACTCCCTATAAAATATGGCATAAATATTAACTTTGTACCGTATTCAAATTTAAAATCACTATTTATTACAGAGTATTTGATATTAATATTAATATATATATTGAGAATTTGTAGGAATGGTCATTTCAATTCCCCCGTAGATAAATATATAAATTCGCAGTGGGTCAAATTAAATGCATGTTTTATAAATAAAACCCGCCTATAATCCAAGCCGGCCAATTTTATATTTTTAAAAGTATTCAGAGTATTATATATAATAGTATACGTATAAGAATTGATTTTTTTTAACAATCATGATTTTTTACAATATAGTATGTGTTTTATAATTTCTCAATCTTTTTTCAATTTAAAGAATTAATGCACCCCCACCGACAGGTCTTGAACATGTGACCACCCATTTTAATGTACGAGCATGTAGTTAATTATACAAATTTGTATAATAGCCGTTAACTTTTTTACTATTTTTTGTTATAGACTAATAAGTTTATTTTTTAAAAAATAAAAAATTAATTATTTATAAACTATTGAATTGTATTATGTTATTGTGTGTAAATAACTAAATATTACTATTATTTTTTTGAAATTAGTATTTAATTTGCACCCGTGCAATGCACGGTCATTATAATTAATTTTTTTTTAAAAAATCAATATAAATAACGTGTGTGTGTGTGTGATTTTTATACATTTTGTTGTTTATTTAGTTTTTGTTGATTTTAACAGTTCTTATATTGGATTATACATGATTGTGTTAGTATAATTTGAAAGTATTAAATGCTCAAAACATACAAAATTAAAAAATAATTGTTTTTCACATTAAACAAAAATACAGTTACAAATTATTAAAAATGCCCAATTTATTTTTGCGGATGTCGCAACTAATTTTTACTTAATTCTTTTTTTATTGTTCTCATTAAAAATTATATTAATATATTCGTTAGTTTGAGATGTTGTAACTTGTAATTGCTTGAAAGATTATAACAAGAGTAAATTTAAGGCCAATCGTTATATCGTGCAACACAGTACACATAGCAATGTGCGTCCCGCGCCTCCCAAAATGACATCGTTTTATTAAGTTGTGTAGGGAATTGACGCGTTTATAAAATTATGTATAGTTTATTATAAAATTTTGTACATTCTGTTATAGAATTCTGTACATTCTATTATATAATTCTGTACATTCGAAACATAGGAATTTTTTAAAAATAGTTAAGAGTTTATATGTATTATGTATTATAGGGTGTGTTTGGTTTGCACATAGAAATCAGAATCAGAATGGGTATCAAATACTTTGTAATAGTAATGAGTTTTGGTGAAAGTATTTAACATATTTGGTAGTAGGGTGGAATAGGAATGGTTACCAATAGTAGTGCTTCAGAATGAATAAAGGAATGAAACCCTTATTTTATTTGTGTATGGATTTTTCAATTGATGGGGTATTCGAAACCCATAATAGTGTTCTAAAAACCTATCAACCAAACAACAACAATCACTTTCATACTCATTCCTATGGGCAAAACCCACCAACCAAACACACCCTACGTGTATTCTGTTATAAAATTTGGTACATTTTATTATACAATTATGTACATTCAAAACATGAGAATTTTTTTTTAAGAAGTTAACAACAGTCACGCAAAATGTACAAAACGACGTCATTTGTGCGCCCTGGTGCACGGTATAATTTGCCTTTAAAGACAACTTAGACAAGTTAGTCAAGCAATTGATTCAATAAGAGCAAATTCTACTTTTACAGGGCGTTTGGTTGGAGGAATTTTAAATTCTCTTCCCACTTAATTCCCACCTAATTCCAAAGGCCATTAAATTCCGTAGTTTGGTTGGAGGGAATTGCAATTTCATGAAATTGCAATTCCCCCATTTTCATGGAATTAAAATCCCATGTCCCCCCTGGTATTTTAATTCCTGGGAAAAAAAATAGTGATGAGTCAAAATTACCCCTTCCTTTTTGAACCTAAAATTAATGTCTAACAACAATAATGGACATTTTTGACTTTATACTAGTTATTCCCTTTCAATTCCCATGTATACCAAACATTGGAATTGAAATTCTCAGTAATTCTATTCATGTCAACCAAACACTGAAATTTAAATTCCCACATAATTCCCCCTCCAACCAAACGCCCTGTTAGTCTTCGACTATTGTGGCATTGCCACATCTACTTTTTTAATTTGGTCATATTACATTACTGGCTTTCATTTAATTGCCACCATTAGTCTTCCATTAAAATTTTCTTTAATTTACCGTTAACAATAAAATCTATAATGTAATTTCATATTTTTCCTCAAATTCACACCCAAAAAAAAAAAAAAAAAAAAAAAACTACATTTTTATTAAACTTCTCTCCCCCCCCCCCCCCCCCCCCCCCCCCCCCCTCTCTCTCGTAACCCTCTCTGCGCTCCAAAATAGTACATTTGTTTCTTGGAGTATACCAAAAAGGATGATGCCAGTAAAGGCTGCAACTTTATTCAGTCATTATCTTGGCATTTGCAGGAGGATTATTTTTAGTATTATCCTTGCTCCCCATCTGTTGATGTGCATAATAGTGTACTAATATCTCCATATTATGCTTTGGTGTGGATGCTCTAAACATAATATGGTCTTCCTGGTTTTGCCTTTACCAGTCCAAAAATACATAATGTCCTTTACCAGTCCAAAAATACATAAATATTGTGAAGGATACTTTCTGAGTTTCTGAGACAAACACTGAGGAAAAAAACAACCCAGATTTGCTCCATTTTTTTTTTTTTTTTTTTTTGAATGCCCCAGATTTGCTCCATAATACACTTAACATAGAAACACAAACTTACACTAACAGGTATGACAACCCAGATTTGCTCCATAATATAATATACACTTAACATAGAAAACAAACTTGCACTAACAGGTATGACTGATGAGACTCAATAATATTATTTCAACAAAAAATAGCAAGATGCTTGTACAGGGTAAAAATACACTAAATAATCAGTAAATAAAGGTGAAAAAGTACGAATACAAATACAATTCAGACACTAATGGTACAAACAGAAGTTACAAAACAAGTAAGAATAGAGATGCAATTCTGACAGTAATGGCACAAACATCGATGGCTAATGACTATATAACTCTTCTAGTACTTCTGTTCTTACTTGAAGAGCTGAAGCTCCCGAGGGGAGGGAATTCTTCGTTTCCAGTAAGAACGTTCTGTTTTGTTGTCTGGGCAGGTGGAGAATCCGGTTTATCATGCTTCATCTTTTTTTCATTCTCACTAACCATTTGATGAGTTGATGGTTCTCTAACTGGAGAACGATGAAGAACCAAAGGCTGAATTCTCAGAAGCTCAGGGTCGGGCTTGTAGTTGAAAGGCGATTTGCTTTCATCCATCTTTCTGAAAGTAACAGAGATTCTGCCATGAAAAGAAAGAAGAAAGATGAGTACTTTATATGCAAAAGAGTGTAAGACAAATGAGGAAATGATCTAGGAGCCGCATTTTTGTTAATGACATTCAATAATTTACCTTTTAGATGGAACACCTGGTACGCAATGCTTTGCAACGTCAGCTCCATTACCTTGTAAAACAAGCACAGACCTGCATGACATTAATTCACAAGTTACTATATATGTATGAACAATAATGAAACCATTACACTTCAGTAAGGAACAAAGTGGGAATTCAAAAAATGAACTAATGAATCAATTTTAGCAAGAGATTATTCTGAAAAAGCAAAGACTGTTTATATCCACATTATTATAAACTACTTCTGTGTAATAATATCCACATTTTCTTACTGTTAGACACTTATAGTGAAAGAATTGAATAAAAAGAGATTGAACAGCATACCCTTTTGGCAAAGGTACAGAGACAGGACCAGAAAACTCTCCGGGGCTAACAATCTTCAAACTCGAGCCAAAAAGAATGTTGCATTCTGACAAGAATGAAACAGTGCTAAAAGGGCGAACAAAGTCATGATGGTCAATATGAGGAGGAATGCAATCACCCTCTTCGTAGATGTTCACAATACAACTATTGGGGACACATGTTGGAGGCAAAACATGCCACCTGACCATCCTCTTAATCATCTGCTTGAACACAGCAGGCAATGGATCCACTTCTTCATCTCTTACTATTCCGGGAGGATTGCCATTTTTGTCCTATCACAAAACCATAATAATATATAGAGTATAAGATAAACTTTTCTAAACAAAAATAGCTAAGCCATAGGAATGACTAAGTAATTTTGCTACTGCATAATAATAACACCAACCAAACCCAATTACAAATGGGAAAAAACAGATAAACCTCACAACAGAAAATAGCTTAGAAATAGAAAACTAAGAAATTTTACCACTGCATAGTTGTAACAACAACCGAATTGAATCGTTGCACGCCCTTTGCCCCGCATCCACTTCTTTGGCTCAGAATATGTTCGAGCTGCAAAGAGTTAAACACCAAGTTAGCAATCATCAATACACATTTTAGAAACATCCAATTGATTATTAACATTGCTTATATACCTCTGAGTTTCCCTTTCTGACCCAATTGTTGATACTGGTAAACACACTCAACAATCTTCATCTGTTCTTCGGCATCGAAAATCCCAGTATGTAGTTCAAGGCCTTGAACCACGTTTACCTTTTTCCCATCCACTCTCTCGTAGTGAACAAAATCTTTCTTCCGCTTCACTTGCGCGAATTTGGTTTGCTCTCTCTTCTCCTCCTCCGATAACCCCTTATAGTTAACCCTAGATGACGCCGGAGCTTGATTGCGATTCACCGGCGCCGGCGACGACGCATCGGAAACCATCTTTTGCAACCGATTCAAGTAGGTCGGTGCGATTCTTGGTGCATGCACCACCGTAGCTTTCTCCGACGCGGCTTCGTTATCGCTAGAAAACGATATCTCACCGAATTGAACTACAAAAAAAAAAAAAAAAAAAAAAAAAAAATCCAAAACAAATTGTTAACACGGAATCGGAAGCTAAACGATGAATGGAAGATCAACCGAAAGCATAGCCATGAATCTAAAGAAAGAGATCGGAGGATTTTCACTTACTATTGAGCTTGTCCATCGGAGTTTCGATCGGAATTCGGAAACCTACGAAGCGTTTGCGGAGTTCGGAAGTTGTGAGGAAGCAATCTCACCTGATCGGAATTTATACGAGAGAGTTTGAGTTACCTTAAACCTGTTGGGAAAAGGATTAGGAAGATGTTGGACCCAATTCAGGAAATATAGCCGTAAAGGAGTAGAGGGTTTAATTCTCGCGGGATTACGTCAATCTACTAAAGTATTTATAACGTCATTTTATTATTTATTATTTTTTTATAAAATAAAAATTCGTGCCGTGCGGGTCGTGGGCAGCGCCCGTGCCCGTTTCGAGATTGGGTCAGGACGACAAATATCGAGACCCAAGTCTTTTTAATTGGCAATTTATATCGGGTTATTCTATTTACACCACCTATTTTACTATTTGCACCACCTACTTAGTAGGTCAAATAGCTTTATAGGTGGTGTAAATGCCAGCATTAAATATGGTCAAAAATTATTATTTATTTTTCCTTTTTTTTAATTAAAAAAAAAAAAAAAAAAAAAAAAAAAAAAAAACCTTCACCCCGTCACCTTCTCCGGTGAGAAGGCGATGGACTGCCTTCTCACCGGAGAAGGCAAATGGGTTGTCTTCTCCGGCGAGAAGGCAACCCACACAGTGGGCTGCCTTCTCCGGCGAGAAGGCAACCCACACAGTGGGCTGCCTTCTCCGGCGAGAAGGCAACCCACACAGTGGGCTGCCTTCTCCGGCGAGAAGGCGACCCACTGGGCTGCCTTCTCACCGGAGAAGGCAGCCCAGTTGCCTTCTCCGGTGAGAAGGCAGTCCGTCGCCTTCTCACCGGAGAAGGCTATGGTGCTGCTTCGTTTTTTTTTTTTTTTTTTTAATAATAATTAAATTTTGACCTCATAAATGTAGATTTAATAGGGTGGTGCAAATAGCATTTTGACCACCCATTAGGCTATTTGCATTATCCATATATTTATTATAATTTACTACCTTTTTACATTTTCAATGTGCTTTATACCTCATTTTAGTCAAAGGGGGTGTAAATAGCAACACCCTTTATATCGGGGATCCGCGTTAACATAATATTGTGGATCCTGAACACAAGACACGTACACATATTTTATATTTATTTTAATTCAAGTACAGAATTACATAAGACACAAAAACAAATACTCGTAATACATATGCAAAACACATAGTACAAGATACAAAAGTGCATGCTATATTTACTTTATTTTAAATATAAAATCCATGATTCGTACAATTTAAGGTACAAAATTGTATAACATTAGACAAGACACGCATAATACAAGAAACATATAGATGCTTTACCGTTAATTGAACAAGAATCGTACCTAGCTAGATCCGGCAAGATTAATAGCCGTACATCTGGATTTCCTGGACTGCATGTACGGTTGATGAATAGATCAATAGAAGCTACGGATTGGAGCTGCCAATTGGCAGATAGAATACCAATTAGCTGAGTTGCCGATGCCGGAAAGAGAGCAGCGGCGGTGTGGCCGATTCGCCGGAGGGAGCCGAGTTGCCGTTACCGTTGTCCGTCCGTCGCGAAAATTGACTGGGGAAACCGTCAGCTTCAGTACGAACTCTGATGAGGGAGTTGGGCACTTTCTTGTTGAGATAGATCCGTCAGTACTTTAGAGAGTGGGCGATTGGCTTCGGCGGTCGGAACGGAACCCTGGCATCTTACAGCTTTAATTTGCCTCGCTATTGTTTATGTAATCTTTTTCCTTTTTAGACAATATATTATGTAATCTTTTAATTTGTCACGGTATGGATTAGGTAATCTATTACTGGGTAATTAGTATTTTTGCCCGCGCAATGCACGGAATGAATTTGTTGTAATATATTAAGAATATTTTGATCGATGTATAAATTTTTAAATTATAACATCAAATATTATATAGTGCAATTAAAGACGTGGTTTGGATCATTTATGTGTTTGATGTTATTATTGCTTGAATTTGAGTAAATAATTGCTCAAATTAATAGCTAATGTGTAGATGTATGTATGCAGTTGTAATTTTGGAGATTTTATTTATTATTGTTTAGTATTTTTTTTATAAATTAAGCAAATGTGTTCGTTCTCTAGCAATTCAGTTATATGAATGAATTGATATCTTAATTCATTTGTATATATGGAAGATGTATATATATATTTTTTGTCTAGATATATAGCAATTTTGTCATTTAAAAAAACATAATATCAACGATTGTATTTACACATTATTTAAACATTTTTGTAGACGACATTGGTAGTAGCAACACAATATTGTCCATCATCGTCTAAAGCTAACACCTCCAGTCCACCTAGATGGGTGACTCGAATGAAAATATATGATGGTAGAATATTAGTCAATTAGCGATCTTATTATTTTTTATTTTTTGAAAAGATTAGCGATCATTTTATATTTTAAATCAATTAGCAATATCAGATTCATTTTCTGCCAATTATTATTATTTATTTTTAGTCAATTAGAATATCATATGCAGTGATATTTTTACTACTTATTTTTATTATATTTTTAATTGATGATGTATAATATTATTATTGAAATATTTCTGTTCCATTTTTAATTTTCATTTACTATTGCTTAAAATATACAATTAGTTTATTAAATTAGTTTATTATAAGCATCTAAAAATTTAGCAATTACATCAATATCCGAAATGATCCTGCAAAAGTTGTAGAATTACCAATTATGTATTACCTTGTAATATAATGCACACAAATTATGTAATTACTGTGAATTGTGAAATTATGGCAACCGTTACCAAAAATTGTACATGATATTATGTTAATAACATACATAAGATTACAAATTATATAATTATATTATTAGCGAATTAATGTCTTTTATAAACGGTAATACTACACATAATATTAGCATACATTATTCCCATAATATTAGCATACATAATTCTACACGATAATTCCTAATTATTATTTTGTAACACTATACATAATATTACCATACATAATTTTACACAGTAATACTATATATAATATTACCATAATATTGAAATAATAAAACCATATTCAAATAATTTTACACCCAAGGACCGCAAAACTAAGCAAAAAACAATGGACTCGAAATTAGCTGATGTCAAGGCTTTTAATTTAAAGCCATATGAACCGGTGCATGCATACTGTACGTACTTCTTTTTCAAAATATATTTTCCAACTGGTTATCCGTTTCAGGAATATTAATTACATTTTCATTTAATTATATTATGTGTTTATGTATTTTTTTTCAAAGCAATTACGTCATTGAAAATTAAATTGGGAAATATTAAATAAGCATTAATTATTATGAGATATTTTATTATTCAACAGACAAAATAATTTTTACTAATTTATTAATTCAAAAAGCATAAAATTAAAATTAACTAAAAATTAAGTACACATTGAAGAGGATAAAATTTGTACAATTCATATGGGAAGTAGGCCCGAAAAGTTTTTTGTTTTTTGTTTTTTTTTTTTTTTGTTTTTTTTTTTTTTTGTTTAGTACTATTGGCTATATTACAATGTAGCATCTATTTTATATGGTAAGAAAAAATAATTTTTTTGGGAGTATTATTGACTCTATCTATCTACTATATATATATATATATATATATATATCTACTTATATTATACTAATAAGAGTCCAAGAGAGTTAGGCCTATAATGGGTAGAAAAAATGGCGGTCACAGATTTTAATCAAATGAATGGCTCAGATTGATTAAAAGATTGATAAGATTTAAATTTTACACTAAAATTTCCTAAAATACCCACACACCGTTACTAATTTCGTTAAAATTTTAAGAATTGCCGTTAGTTCACCGTTAACTTACTCATTGATTTCAATAAAAAAAAAAAAAAAAAAAAAAAAAAAAAAAAAAAAAAAAAAAAGGTCTTAGGTTCGAACCTCATCCCAATCAAAGTTGGCATAATTAGTACTCTATTTTACTCTTATTAAATTATATAAATAATAATTTAGTAGCTACAACAAAAAATTATAGATATGCATTTCTTTAATTTAGAATTATGTGTCCACAATGTCTTTATTCAAAAAAAAATTATTCATTATAAATAAATTAAAGGGAAAATGGCACTTTTTACCCCTGAGTTATATACTTATAGCACTTTTCCCCCCTCAATTATTTATGTAAGCACATTAGCCCCCTCAATTATTCTAAAAGTGGTGTTCCCCCCCCCCCCCCCCCCTGATATATTAAATTGACATTTATAACCTTAAAGTAAACATTTTATTTATTTTACTACTCCAACAAATTATTGCGCATACGTAGGGATGACCACGGTTCGATTTGAATTGAACCAGATACTAAAGCAATCGAATTAATAGTTTACGGTTATAATTTAGATATAGAACCCAAAACTTAAATATCAATTTATTAAAATAATGTATCAAAAAAATTGAATCTTGAACCGTGAACCGACGGTTCCGGATCTGATTCGCGGTTTTGAACCGTCTTTATTTTAAAATTTTATTTTTTATTTTAAAATAGTCTAAATTCAACAATAAATGTATTTTATTTTTTCAGTTCGGAACATGAACCGTCCGTTCCTGTTCACGATTTTAATAAACTCTAAATATCGAATTTCGATTCCAAATTGTAATTGGAATATTTCGGTTTGGTTGCTATAGTGTTTGTTTAGTTTGAACCAAATTATGGTCATAATTTGTTGGAGAAAAAAATAAATTAAATATTTAGTTTAAGGGTAAATATGTCCATTTAACATTTCAGGGGGAAAAACAGCCACTTCAATAATTTAGGGGGAAAAAATGTTATAGGTATATAACTCAGAGGGAAAAAGTGTCATTTTCCCTAAATTAAATAAGAGAGATAATTGTATTAGTTATATTGTCTTTATTTTTCTACAATATAAAAATTCTTTATATTCAAATTTATTAATTGATTATGTTCGCTACATTGTCCTTACAATGTCTTAATTCAGTAAAAAAAAAATTATTCATTATCAATAAATTAATTAAGAGAAATATTTTCATTAGTTATATTGTCTTTATTTTTCTCAAATGTAAAAATTTTTACATTCAAATTCATCAATTGATTATATTCACTACATTGTCTATTATCTTTTGTTGTGCACTATTTTTCTAATTAAATATCAAAGTTATAATACAAAATAATACTATATATTTATTTACCAAGTATTTTATTAATACCATGAAAAAATTAAAAATATATATATATATACTTAATAAAGCCAACCATATTAACTACTTGAGAGATTTTGTGACAAAGAGAGTATTCAAATCACACAACAAATTGAAGTGAGAACTACCTTGCAATATCCTTGTTTGACAATCAGCAATTACAGATTATATTAGCGGATTTGACCAACGAATTTATTTAATTATTAACATTGGGTAGAAAAAATGACCGCCAAATTATTAAATCAAATGAATGATTCAAATTGTTCAGGTTTTAATTTTTTTTTAAGTTTTTCTAATTTATCCTTAATTATATGATTATCCATTTAACTTTTCCGTTAAATACCGTTAATTCACCGTTAGTCTAATTCTAATATTAACGTCTAATATTGAATTATAATTACACCATTAATCTAATTCTAATATTAAAGTCTTAATAGAACTTAACCACAAATCCTAATGTCGAAATCTCCTCAAACAATATTAGTATATATTTAATATTTTATGCCCTAATTTTTATTTGTTCTCCCTTATGTCCCGTATTTGGTTTCAACCATACCTATACAATTATTTTATTGACAATTATAATCAATCTTGACTATATTATCTTGCATTTGTAAACTTAGAATTACCTATTTAACCCGCACGGGCTTAGCTCAATGGTTTAGTGGGCAGTATTTGGGAGAAGAGACCAAGGTTTGAACCTCGGCGGCGGCAGTGCGAGAATTATGTCCAAAGTGGGCAGATTCCTTGTTCGCACCGGCATTTGGTCCTGTCTGCTGAACCATTGAGTCACCGTGATTTACAACTTTCCACAATGCTCTGTCGAGTCAGAGTGTGGGCGGCCCTTGGTGTTGGGGACTCAACCTTTGGGAGAAGAATTACCTATTTAAATACGCAAATTCAACCTTCAATTATCTATGCATGAACAATTTCAATATAATCTTGCCTTAATATACTTTAAAATACTTATTTAAAAAAAAAACATTGGGCATTATCTCAATCGCGCAACGCGCGTAAAAAAACTAGTATACTAATAAGAGCCCAAGAGAGTTAGGGCTATAATGGGAAGAAAAAATGGCGGTCAAATTTTTTAATCAAATGAATGGCTCAGATTGATCAGATTTTAATTTTTCCTTAAGATTTCTTAATTTATCCTTAATGAATATGATTATCCGTTAACTTTTCCGTTAAATATTATATTTCCGTTAATTTGTATTAGTTCACCGTTAACTTACGCATTGATTTCAATAAGAAAGGTCTTAAGTTCGAACCCCATCCCAATCAAAGTTGGCATAATTAGTACTCTATTTTACTCTTATTAAATTTAGTAATCTATTTCACTCTTATTAAATTAAATAATAATTTAGTAGCTACAACAAAAAATAATATATATGCATTTCTTTAATTTAGAATTATGTGTCTACAATGCCTTTATTCAAAAAAAATTATTCATTATCAATAAATTAAATAAGAGAAATAACCAGGACTATGTGGTCTAATGGTATCCGTGTTGGACTTCTATTTGGAAGATTATGAGTTCGAGCCTCAGTGGAGGCGTTATTGGTTCTTTGTGTTTCAGTAGGTTGAGAAAGTATATGAACAGATACATTACAATGTAATAGAGCCAGTAGCTTTCAAAAAAAAAAATAAGAGAAATAATTTCATTAGTTATATTGTCTTTATTTTTCTCCAATATAAAAATTCTTTACATTCAAATTCATCAATTGATTATATTCGCTACATTGTCCCTACAATGTCTTTATTAAAAAAAAAATTATTCATTATCAATAAATTAATTAAGAGAAATAATTTTATTAGTTATATTGTCTTTATTTTTCTCCAATGTAAAAATCCTTTACATTCAAATTTATCAATTGATTATATTCACTACATTGTCTATTATCTTTTTTGTGCACTACTTTTTTAATTAAATATCAAAGTTATAATACAAAATAATGCTATATATTTATTTACCAAGTATTTTATTAATACTATGAAAAAATTTAAAAAATATAATTAATAAAGTCAATCATATTAACTACTTAAGGAATTTGTTGACAAAGAAAGTATTCAAATCACACAACAAATTGAAGTGATAACTATCTCGTAATGTCCTTGTTTGACAATCAGCAGTTAGCGATTAGCGTTAACGAATTTGACCAATGAATTATATCAACGCTTGGTAAAAAGATATTTCAAAAAATTAGCTGTTTAAATTAACATGTAAAATGACCTAAGGATATATATATATATATATATATATATATATATATATATATATATATATATTTAATAATAATAATAATAATAATTGTTTAAAAAAATAAAAAATATATAATTAAGCCAATCATATTAACTACTTGGGACTTTATTGACAAAAAGAGTATCAAATCACAAAACAAATTGAAGTGGAAAACTACCTTGCAATGTCCTTGTTTGACAATCAGCAGTTAGCTCTTCAATATTAGTATATATTTAATATTTTATGCCCTAATTTTTATTTGCTCTCCCTTATGTCCCGTATTTGGTTTCAACCATATCTATACAATTATTTTATTGACAATTATAATCAATCTTGACTATATTATCTTGCATTTGTAAACTTTGAATTACCTATTTAAATACGCAAATTCAACATTCAATTATTTATACGTGAACAATTTCAATGTAATATACTTTAAAGTACTTATTAAAAAAAAAACATTGGACATTATCCCAATCGCGCAATGCGCGTAAAAAATTAGTTTTAAGATAAGTATATAATAGATATTACAGAGGGGAACTATAGAGGTGTCATCTGAGTACAAGATATTTGGTAAGAAAAAGAGTTTATTAGTAGTAAATTGTAGTTGATGTAAATAGTAAATACAGAGGTCTTCTTTGCAATTATCAAACTTTGAAGGGTCCAAGTGAAATTATCTATCATCGCGGCTACTCCGTCACATTTTATTGTTTCCGGCTCGAACAAAACTGTCTCCGATAGCTCCCGGACGGCGGACGCCTTCGAGCTTCAAGGCGCCAAAGCTATGGAGGTTTCCTCCTTTTTCGGAAACGGTTTCCACACTATCCTCCCCCACCCGCTCCCATTTCTATCCAGCAGGCCTAAACTCGCAGCTGCACGCACCTCCTCAACAATCACTTCCTCTGTCACTCCCACGCCAAAGCGAATTGACCTTCAAAATGGGCCGAAGAACGTCTCGAGAGATTCCGCAAATCGCCTCTCCGCTTCTCCGAGTGCAAAAAGATCTGCAATTATTGAAATTCAAGGATCATCTGACCTGAGCTCTGCTCTTTCAAGGTTCGAACTGTTTTCATTTGAATTTATATATATATTTTTTCTGGAGAAAAAGGAAATTCTGTGATGGTTTTGAGCTGTTTTTAGGTATGGAGAGATATTGAAAGCTTCGGATATCAATGTGGTTTTGCGCCATTTTGGGAAGCTAAATCGAAAGCAGGAGTTATCTCAGGTTTTGTTACTTTCCTACATTTCTTACTATGCTTGTAATGATGCCCTTGAGTTTCTTGAAATTTATGTAAGTATACTAGATCGAATTTGTCACTAATTTTGGTAAAGTTTGAAATATCTATCAGCAACTATATCCATCTCATAATGATTGCAGGTTTTCAAATGGATGCAGCAGAACAGGAGGACTAATGTTGCCTCTTACAGTGGCTACGTAAAATTCATGGGGAATAGCCTAAGCTATATTGAGGCACTAGAAATTTACAAAAGTATTAAAGATAAGGAAACAAGGAATAATGTCTCGGTTTGCAACTCTATTCTTGGTTGTCTGATAAAAAATGGCAAACCAAAGAGTAGTTTCAATCTGTTTACTCAAATGAAGCAGGAGGGTTTAGTACCAGATGTTGTAACATATACTACGGTATGTTCTCAAAGCAAACTTCCTAACAGTCTCAATGGTTCTGGTAACCTTGGTCAAGCCTATATTTATTTTGATTTTTTCAATGCTAAAGAACTTCACATAAATGCATTCTTAGATAAGAAGCATAGCAGGTAATTACAACACATACAAGTTTTTACAGTAATTACTTTTCCATCCGGTGCCCTAACACTAACTTTTAAAAGTTTAAAGCTTTGACCTTCATGTTAACTCTTTATTGTAGCTTCTTGCAGGATGTGCCAAAGTAGAAAATGGCTACTCTAAAGCATTAGAGTTGGTTGAAGAGATGAAGTATAAGGGACTGCAAATGGATTGTATAATTTATGGGACGGTTCTTTCTGTTTGTGCTTCACATAATCAGTCCAGTGAAGCAGAAAAATACTTTGAACAAATGAAGAAAGAAGGCTATTCTCCAAATGTCTTCCACTATAGTTCTTTGCTCAATGCTTTCTCCGGTGATGGAAACTATGAGAAGGCTGAGATGTTAATTGAAGAGATGAAATCTGTAGGTTTAGATCTAAATAAGGTCTGTATCACTCTTCAGGTTTGATCAACCAGTAGGCTTTATTAATGTAGTGTCATTCTGGTCGGGCTTTATTAATATTGCATGTACCAGAAGTATATTGTTTGTTATAACCTTCAAGAATCCAAATTTCATCAATCAGTATTCTCACTTTGGAAGTTTAATGGATTTTTACATGAATGGTCCTAAATAAATCCTCAAATTGACCATCTCTGATTCTTTATCCTCTTTAGTTTTTCCACTATCAGTAATTGGATCCTAAAACTTTTGCTTTTTGTTCCTTCTTATTCTTCAATTTCAATTATTGACCCGTATATGAGTAAGTTTTTCTTCAAATGCTAATCATGCTTTTATCACCTATTCTTGCAGGTAATTTATGTTACTTTGCTGAAGGTATATGTTAAAGGAGGTTTGTTTGATAAGTCAAATGAACTACTAAAGGAGCTGGAAGCTCTAGGTCTTGTTGATGATGAGGTACACTAGCTCGTGGATCTTAAAGTTCCCTGATTTCTGAATTAGCATATTATATTTGTAACTGTTTTGGAAGTTGAACTCATGTATGTGTTTTAGTTTAGTATTAGGTTGTGCTGTGCACAAATACATCATGCATGAGCAATCCAAACTTACTGAAGCACAACGAGCCAATAACGCCTCCACTGAGGCTCGAAATCACAACCTCCCATTTGGGAGTCCAACCCGGGTGCCATTAGACCACAAGGTCTTGGCTTCAAATAGTATTGTTAGCTTTCCCAATTATAATTGAACTAGTCTAAGGATCCTTAAAACAATTTAGCATTGCGTTAAATGCTTATGAAATTCCACATCTTCCGAATAGTACACAATCACTTAATTATGGCTTTCTAGCTATCGTTTTGTCTTTATGGTTTTAATTTTATAGGTTCAGTGGCTTATATATGCCAATTTATTGCAGATGCCATTCTGTATCCTGATGGACGGCCTTGTGAAGGCGGGACAGATACCTGAAGCTAAATTAATATTTGATGAAATGAAAAGAAAAGAAGTGAAAAGTGGTATGCCTCATTTAATTTATTTACTTCTAGATTACATTTGTTTGACATCATTTAGGTGTGTATGAATGATAAGTTTTTATTTTTAGCTTGTGCATTCGATGTCCTTAAATCAGATCTTAATTAGACTTTGGCTTTAGAATACTGTATCTGTTCTTTCGTTGGCATGTTCTTAACTCTGTCCAAAATCCCCTTCATAATCTTGGGCCTCTCGGCTACATTCTGGGACTGCATGCTTAATGTGCTTGCTTTTAGGTTTTCTAACCGGTAGTTATTTATTTATTATTGTTCCGTTTCTGTAGCTGGCTACTCCTACAGTATCATGATTTCAGCATTCTGCCGTTCTGGGCTTATTGAAGATGCAAAACAGTTAGCCAGTGAATTTGAAGGCAAATTTGACAAATATGATGTGATTAGTTTGAACGCAATGCTCTGTGCCTACTGCATGGCTGGAGAAATGGATAATGTGATGAAAATGATGAAGAAAATGGATGAATTAGCAATCAATCCTGATCGAAATACCTTTGATATTCTAGTAAAGTATTTCTGTAAAGAGAATCTCCATTTGCTTGCTTTTCGTACCATGCGGGACATGTACAGAGGAGGTCACACCCAACTGGACGAGGTAGAGTGTCTTAAAAGTCATTTATGCTGTCCTGAATGACATTTTGACATTTTAGGAGTTTCTTTCTTTCCTATGTCATGATTAATGGTAAGATATTTGGGAATATGTTTGGCTTTGCATAAGCATTTGATTTTCTTATACTCCTCTTTCAGGGAACATGTGTTTTTTTAATTCATCATCTTGGTAAAACGGGGGCACGTTCAGAGGCGTTTACCGTATATAATATGCTTAGATACAGAAACAGAACCATTTCCAAGTCCCTTCATCAGCAGATGTTGAGCATTTTAATTAAAGGTGGACTTCTCAAAGAGGCGTATGTGGTCTTTAAGGTAAAAGATGCTCAATTATTGATAAACTGTACTTTTGCTCTCTTCTAAATAACAATTCTTCTTGTCCCGTCATTTGTCAGGAAAATGCAAGATCAATTTCCCACTTCACCATCAAAAGGTTTGCAAACGCATTTTTTAAATTCGGCAACATAAACTTAATCAATGATGTTATAAAGGACATCCACGCTTCCGGGCACAAGATTGATCAGGTAATGATATATTACGTCATGAGTCAAATGTTTAGTGTCAGTGTTTTGTAGATCTGAATGTGACTTACCAGACCTACTTCTGAATGCGACTAATCCTCTTTCTCATGTCACATATTCTCAGAAATTGTTTTATAAGGCTGCATCGCGTTACATTAAACAATCTGAAAAGAAGGAAATGCTTCTCCAAATGCTACAGTGGATGCTCAGTCACGGCTATGTTATTGATTCGTCCACAAAAGATTTGATCCAGGAGAACTCTCACCTGTTCGGTGAACAACTTGGTACAGAACTATTATCCAAGCTGCATATGATGTCGGAACAAATAAAATCTCTTGAGAGGAAAGCAGCAAACCAGGTATCTTATACTGTTTTTTTTTGTTTTTTTTTTTGTTTTTTTTTTTTTGTTTTTTGTTTTTGTTTTTGTTTTTTTTTTTGTTTTTTGTTTTTACAGAGACTTTGTTAACCTACTAGTCTGCCAAGCATTGTGTATTCTGGATTTTACTTTTACTGAAACTAGATTAAGAGGTCTCATTGCGTGTGCAGATTCTTAAAAAATCTGATCAGGCATTGGTGTGTAGAGATTCTTTAAGAGGTTCCCTCGTGGGAAGCCCTTCATTTAACAGCATCATCAGTGGCATTCCTCCAGAAACTCACAGATTTACCAAAGCAGCTTTCAACAAAAACTAAAAAACTTCAGAGAAACATAGCAGAGTTTATGCCTTCCAAGAACAACCAGCATAACCTTTGGTTTCATGATATGCTTGACTGCCCAATTCATGGCATCTCGGCTCCATTTGTTTCGCCTTGCATCCACGACTGTAGTGATACTTTTCCCTGGCGACGAGAAGAACAATGATAACTCCGAGTGCAAGGTAGTTAGTGCTATTATTTGGTAGACATGTTTCAGAAGAGCAAAAATGTAGATTCAAGTGTCTGAATTGTTGATTTCATATAACCTTCTTGAGAAAAATATTGCAATCTACACCAACAACTAACAACTAGATGTAATTTATCTTGCTAATGATCTTTGATTGCAATAAACCCGTATTTTACTGTTTAGCAGATTGCAATCTATACTTAAGTAAAAAGTCATTGTTACCCTTGCCTTTTCATAGGAATCACCCCCCATTCATAGATTATGTGAAGATTTCCAAAAATGTTACAGTACCTCAAAATATCCTCTGAACCAAATACCCCATTAAAGAAAAAATATTGATTCTCAGAGAGCTCACTAGTCGGTTAGTTATAGATAACCTAGACTGGTTTATCTTATTGTGAATGTGTTATCTAGGGTCACAATGAGGGGTTAACACAGTGTACACTCTCTGTAGTGACTGCGAGTTCTTCTCGTCGAGGGTATGACTGTGAATTTCTCTCGTCACTAAAAAAAAGCTTGAAGTGTTGCTATGATAAAGGAAATTCAAGTTTGAGAACGCTTGGCTCAAGGAGAATCATTGCAGGGAAATTGTTTCAAACTGCTGGGAGCAATCCACTGGTTATCATGTGCTGATACGCCTTGATACATGCAGCAAGGCCATCTGGGAATGGGGGAGAAAGAAGAATTCAAATTTTCAGCCTAGGATCGATTATTGGGCAAATAGGATGGACTCTCTTAGAAGCAGAACTGATACTCAGGGATTGGCAGCGTATGCGGATGCCCAGAGGAATTATCTGGACCTCTTAAACCAACAAAATACTTTCTGGAGGCAAAGAGCAAAGGTCCACTGGTTCAAGGGTGGAGACATAAATTCTAAATTCTTCCACATGTCATGTCAGCGCCGTAGGAGGAATAACCACATTGCAAAGCTTATGGATGATAGGGGAGTTTGGCACGAGGAGGGCCCAGAGCTCAACAACCTGATGATTGATTACTTCAACCATTTGTTTGCTTCCTCCCAAGGCGACATGGAACCTATCTTGAATTGCATTTCTGCCAGAATAACCGAGGCAAACAACGTTGGTCTTCTAAGAAGGGCTAGTGCAGAGGAGGTCAAGAGGGCTGTTTTTGGAATGCATCCGGATAAATCTCCGGGACCTGACGGTTTCAACCCGGGTTTTTATCAAGCCTATTGGGACATACTAGGCTCAGACATTGTAAGGCTGTGTAATGAGTTCTTATCCACTGGTCACCTGCCAAGAGGCCTAAACTCAACTCAACTTGTCCTTATTCCAAAGAAGGCCAAACCAGTGTCCATGGGGGATTTGAGACCTATTTCTCTCTGCAATGTAGTGTATAAGATCTTTGCGAAGGTCTTAGCCAACAGACTTAAGCCTCTCATGAACAGCCTTATCTCGGAAAACCAAAGCGCTTTCGTTCCCGGTCGCCTGATTACGGATAATATTATGATAGCTTTTGAAGCTCAGCATTATCTGAAGAACAAGAGGCAGGGGGCTGAAGGCTTTGCTGCTTTAAAACTAGATATGAGCAAAGCGTATGACCGGGTAGAGTGGGGAATGTTGCATGCTATGCTGCTGAGACTCGGATTCTGTCATAGATGGGTGATGATGATTATGGAGTGTGTTAGTACAGTGGAGTATGTCATTCAACGGGACGGAGTTGAGCTAGGTCCTATTATCCCACAGAGGGGTCTTAGACAAGGAGATCCGTTATCTCCCTATTTGTTCATTCTAGTGGGAGAAGGCCTAAGTGCTCTCATCAGGAAGCAGGAATCGTTAGGAACTTTTCAGGGATTAAGAATTGCTCGTAATGCTCCCAGAGTTTCCCACCTGCTTTTCGCGGACGACAGCTATATCTTCTTCAAAGCTACTCAGACTCAATCCTCCACTTGCAAGCACATCCTAGACATGTATTCTGCATGCACTGGACAGCTGGTAAATTTTGATAAATCCTCTCTAAATTTTAGTAAAAATGTAGGTGGGGCAGTGAGGGGGGTTGTTAGTTCTATCCTTGGGGTGAGAATGGAAGGAAATGCTGGGAGTTACCTAGGCTTGCCATCCTTAGTTGGCAGGAATAAAAATGAAATACTAGGCTTTATCAAGAGTAAGATTGTTTCTAGGATCAATTCTTGGAACCATAAGTTCCTTTCTAGGGCGGGAAGAGAGGTTCTTTTGAAGAGTGTGATTCAGGCAATCCCTTCCTTTGCTATGAATATGTTTTTGCTTCCTCAGGGGTTGGTGAGCGATATAGAGAGGACTATGAATGGCTTTTGGTGGGGGAAGTGTGGTGATCAGGGTAGAGGATTGAGATGGAAAGCCTGGGATAAACTCTGTGTTCCTAAAAAATGGGGAGGAATGGGCTTCCGTAGGATCAGGGATTTCAACATTGCCATGCTTTCAAAACAAGCTTGGAGGCTAATTAATCATCCGGATTCTCTTGCTGCAAAAATCATGAAGGCTAAGTATTACCCGGATTCTCATTTTGTTGAGGCCAGAAAGGGTGGTAATCCATCTTTTGTGTGGTCTAGCCTGCTGGAAACAAGGAGCATTATTCAAAGAAATACTCGTTGGAGAATTGGGAATGGACTCTCTGTTCGTATCTGGCATGATGATTGGTTGCCCGATGCCACAAATCCTATGGTCACCACTCCACCATATCCTTACCTCCATCATGCTACTGTTAATTCTCTGTTTGATTCCAGGGGTTTAGGTTGGGATGAAGAAGTAGTCAAAGATATTTTCAATCCAAGAGATGCCCAGCTTATACTTAGTATCCCTATCCCGCAGTGTAACAGAGATGACAAGATGATTTGGATCAATGATGAGAAGGGATCATTCACAGTCAGAAGCTGCTACAAATCCATCTCGCAGGATTTCACTAACTTTCCCACTGAAAAATGGTCTGATGTGTGGAAGCTTCATATCCCTCCCAGAGCAAAGGCATTCATTTGGCAAGTATGTTCAGGCTGCCTCCCGACTACTGACAAGTTGCGCCAGCGAAGAATTGATTGTGATCTTATGTGTCCTTTGTGCCATGAAGACGAGGAATCAGACTTCCACCTACTCGCAGAATGCAGATTCCCGTCCCAGTGCTGGAGCATCTTCCATCCATTGCCGGACAAGAATCAGTACCAAAACTGCTCGGATTGGATTGCTCAAGTCTGTTGCACTTTGGAGAAGTCACAAGTTTGTCTGTTCGTTATCATATGCTGGAATATATGGCGAGCCAGGAACGATAAAGTTTGGAAGAACACCTCTACACCACCCAAGGCCGTTGTGGAGAACTCTAAGTTTTTTTGGAGAGACTGGAAAGCTTGCACTGATGTAGCATACCATGACCGCGGGCATAACAGTAGTTGCATAAGATGGAGCAGGCCATCACCGGGGTGGTACAAATTGAATGTGGATGCCGCCTTGAATGTCAACTCAGGCAGAATGGGCTTAGGATGGGTCCTTCGTGATCACCATGGTTCCTTCTTATCTGCAGTCAGTCAGCCGTGGACCGGAACTTACTCTCCTAGGGAAGCTGAAGCCTTAGCAATCAGAGAAGCATTAAGCTGGTCCAAACAGCACAGCATTGAGTATCTTCATGTTGAGACGGATTCCTTATTGGTTGTTCAGGGTCTATCATCTCCTGGATCCGTCACCTCGTTTGATCTTCTCTTAGTTGATGTAAAAGATTCGTTGAGTGCTTTTGCTCATTGTTGTATCTCTTTTGCGAAACGTTATGCGAACCGGACGGCCCATCTCTTAGCGAGGGAGTCCGTTTCTTTGTCTGAACGTAAGGAGTGGACTTCTGTTCCTCCTTCTTTCATTTGTAATGCTCTTTCGTATGATTTAATATAAGCTGGTTTGTTCTCAAAAAAAAAAAAAAATGGCAAGTGATGTGGAGAATTTTGCAAATTTTTGAAACTTAAGGGGTCGGTTTGAAAACATCAAAATGTGTGACTCTTTACAGTTGTACTGTTGGCGGTAAAAGATCAGTCAACCAGTGCCTTTTCTCTGAACTACAGGCCATTGAAGGAGCTCTGAGCTAAAGCCCGAATTTTGGAATCCGAATCCATTCCCTGCAACAATGGCCACTTGCTATCCAGCACCCGTAGTTCCGGGGCAGACCCGCATAGGTTGGATAGGCATAGGAGTGATGGGCGGCGCGATGGCCTCCCGCCTCCTATCCGCCGGCTACAGCGTCACTCTCTACTCACGCACGCCGTCAAAGGCCATCGATCTTCAATCCAAAGGTGCACATTTAGCCGAATCGCCCGCAGATGTCGCGCGCGTTAGCGATGTTGTGTTTACTATGCTGGGACACCCATCAGATGTTCGACAAATTGTCTTAGAGGGGCCAAAGTGCATCCTCTCTTCTCTCAACCCCAACGGCGTTATCGTGGATCACACTAGCAGCCATCCAGCTCTTGCCAGGAGAATCTTTGACGCCGCTGTTGAGAAGAACTGCTGGGCAGTTGATGCGCCCGTTTCGGGAGGCGATACCGGGGCTAAAGAAGGCAAGCTGGCCATCTTTGCTGCCGGAAATGAAGATGTGGTGAAGTGGTTGAACCCATTGTTTGATGTGATGGGGAAGGGGACTTACATGGGCGGTCCAGGAAAGGGGCAGAGTTGCAAGATTGCGAATCAGATCACTGTTGGTGCAAACTTGTTAGGACTGAGTGAAGGTTTGGTTTTTGCAGATAAGGCAGGGGTGGATAAAGGCAAGTTCTTGGAGGCAATCAGGGGCGGCGCAGCCGGGTCCATGGTTATGGAGTTATTCGGGAAACGAATGATCGAGAAGGACTTTAGGCCCGGTGGGTTTGCAGAGTACATGGTGAAGGACATGGGAATGGGTGTGGATGTTGTGGAGGAAGAAGGGGAGGATGTGGTGGTCTTGCTTGGTGCTGCATTAGGAAAACAGCTTTTCTCAGGGATGGTTGCTAATGGAGATGGCAAGCTTGGAACTCAGGGACTTATTACAGTGATAGAAAGGCTTAATTGTATGTGAGAATGTGAAATCATTGCTTTCTTGAAAGCATGGCATGTCTATCCATGTCTGTTTTCTATTTGGGGGAGCCAATCCTAGTTTCTTGCTTCAGTGATCATTTGGAAGATGTTGGGTGTTTTAATGAACATGAAAGTTTTAGACTTTTAGTTGGGTTGTGTGCACTTGAGTTGAGGGCAATACCATTGTCCCTGTACAGAATAAATTTGATGAGAAATTGAAGTTTGGCACTTTGGTGAGTTGGTCTATATAATTTGCTGGTTGATTTCCCCTCTTAATGTAGCTGGCCTTTGAGTTACTAATGACTTTTTTTTTTTTTTTTTTTTTTTTTTAAATTATGAATAATCTAGTCACCATTATTTAAAGGTGTATTTTGAGTGAAATTCAAACTAACAAGGTCAATAGACATTTTTTAAGATAAATTGAATTTAAAACATTGTGATTACTAAACTAATTGTTTGAACATACAAATTTACCCGGTCAACACAATTAGAAAACTAACAAGCAACCAAGCGCTTCTTGCAGTTAACAATTTTTGTACCTGTTTTATATATACACATACATAATATGTTAACTGTAACATTGCACCCCAAACAAATCTCAAGATAATTAAGAGAGGCCAATTAACTTTGTCATTAGATAAAAAACATCTTTTAAGGGATTACAGATATAATGGGTTGGAACTTATAACATATATACTCCGTAGTATATACTAACAATGTTATAGTATTAATAATAGAAATATCGGAGCAATCGAACAGACGAACAACTACAACTAAGTTAGTCAACCATAATGTTTCAAATTTGGGAGTTATTTATTGGTCTTCTTAGTTTAATTCGATCCGTTATGACAATCTAAACTGATTTTGGGAGTTATTTATTGGTCTTCTTAGTTTAATTCGATCAGTTATGACAATCTAAACTGATTCGCCTCATTATTGTCTTCTGTTGGTTTGGGTTACAACTTACAATGCATGGTATAAAAGTGTGAATTCCCTTAATAGGTACACAAAGTGATATATAACCCCTAATTGGGTATACAAATTAAGTGATATATAGTTTTTTTTTTTCGGAACAGACCCAACTGTAAGACGGACCTTTAAGACTGAATTTAGTATTATTTATCCCAACAAATATAAATTACAAAAGAAGGGAAAAAAAAAACAAAAAAAAAAAAAAAGAAGAAAAAAATAGAGAGTTTGTCAACAATTTTTTTTTCTCTAATAAATAAAAGCGAAGCTGCGCAGGATACCATTTTCACTTTAGGCGGGAAATAAAAGGCAAAGTCTCACCTAGGCAGCATTTGAAGCCAGCTCCGCATAGCAGTGCGTTCAAATTTCAAATTGAGAACAAATTAACAAACACTTGGTGTGCAGCTTGCATTTGCATTCCGCAGAGAACAAACAACCCGGCAAAAATGTCGACTTACGGGTACCCAATTCTCCCTCGGTCAGAGATCGTCGTTCTTCTAGCTGAATTTGGAGTCGACAGCCCCGTGTCCGAGCAAGACCTTCTCCAACCCACACCTGAACTCGTAGAAAAGCTCTACACCTACCTTCTTAACCTCTTAGATATACTCCAGTAACTCCCTCCATTTCCATTACTCCAAATTTGAATCAATGTTATCGCTTCATTTTGCAATTCTGAACTTTTGTGTTTGGACACGTATAGGGACGACAATGGGCAGGCAGATTTTGCGGCCTTGGAGCAGCTTGAGAATCCGGATCTTCATGTTTCTTCGGTTCGTATCATGAATTTGCTTCACAAGATAAGAGGGGTCGTGGCTGCTGTGGAGTTCCCCGATAGGTTTACTCTCTGGGATTTGTTGAGGCCCGATCCGGAACGGACTAAGTCATTTCTCAGTGCTCTTCTCAATTTTTGTCTTTACAAGTAAATGCTTGTGCTTTAATTAACTGCTACCTGATATATTTATCTTAATGTTTTATTTTCATGTAGAATCTGATGTAATGATATTAACATTCCACATTTATCCCCTAGTCCCCCCACCCCCCTCCCCTCTCTTCATTTTCATGTTATGAATAATTTTAGCAAAGGAAGGAACTGGCTGCAACCTTGATAATTTTTTGGCAATGGTGTTCTTCATATTTTAGAAACAGCAAAATGAATGACCTGGAATCCACAGCAGATCAGCTGGGTGATATTGTTATGCAAAAAGAAGCACTAGAGCAAAAAATATATCAGGTATCTCTTACTATACAACTACATTGTGAAAACTGGCATGAGCATGTGAGGATTCTCTGAAGTCACTTATCTACCTTACAGTTGAATGCAGAGATTGCTCAATGTAATGAATCAAGAGAGAAGGAAATGCCTTTTGTGCGGGATGTAGATGGTAAAGTTAAGGAATTGCGCCAGAGCATCTCTGGTCTCAACAACCATCAGATGTCCTTGAAGTCTGAAATAAAAAAGATGAAGGAGAAGGCTCAAGAGATGGATGAGAAGGTCTGCTTTTCACCCCATCATCTTATTGTTGGGTTCTGAGACTTCTGCATCTGATGATCTGAAGCAAGCGAAAAAATTTTTGTACTCTAATCCTAAATTGGTCATAACCCCTTGTCCTAACATGTCTTTATTAACAATTGTCTTCAACCCGCCTACTGCCATCTCCTACTATCACTATGTTATCACACATAAGGGAATCTTTAGACCTTAGTCCTAAGTTGAACATGTTCAAACTTCTTAATCAGTTTTATATTTTTTCTCTGCATTGAGGGTGAATATTTTGTTTGCTTTTTTTTTTTTTTTTTTTAAATATGGATTATACTTTGGTTTACTATATTTCATTTTCTGATCTGATATTCTGCATACGTTATTTGCTTATACCAGATTTCTAATGCTGAATTTGCATTGGTACGAAGTGCTCAAGAAAATGCTCATTTACGATCTAAAATTGTTCAATCTCCCGACAAGCTTCAGGTATTTATGTTTATTCAATCCATTGTAGGTTCATTTAAACATACTCAGATGCCAATTAAGTGATATAGATAGGATGAGCACCTGCTTTGATTTGCAGTGTTAGACTTTATGGCATCAAACATGTATGGAGTAGTTCAGAAGATATTGAGTAGAGCCATAAGTGTTACTTTTAGCACTGGCATGCTTATTTGCAAGCTTGAAAGATGTTTGCTGTGATAATTGAAATAACATCTTTTTCAGCATAATACTCTCATGTGTTTGATAAAACTGATACAAGTGAGGGTTTTGAGATTTTATTGTTTAACTCTTTTCTTTTAAAGAATTTGAAATCAAACTTATAGTCTTAATTCAAATTATTTAAGTGCTTTGATGTTTCTATCATGGTTCGTGGCTAACCTTCACAATTCATTTCTGCACTGTTTCTTCCTCTGATGTCTGATTATTATTTAGTATCTGGTTTTATTCATTACTTTACTTCTTTATATTTGACCAAGAATTACTTCTTCGCTTTACAAATTCATAGAGGGCTCTGGAGGAAAAAAAGTCCCACCAAGTTGAGGCAAAGAATGCAGAAAGGGCAGTGATGCAGTCTTTTCAGGATAAGAATGCCACTCTTGAAGTTTATTCGAAGGTATGCTTTGCAATGATGTACATTTTGATGTTCCACCGGTATGCTTGTGGAGTTAACAGAACTGCAGATATAAAGTGTCCACATATTGGAGGTTTCCCTTGTTGAAATAGCAAATGCAGTTTCATGGTTATTATTTTGCTATACTTTGTAATGATGCCTTGATATCAATCGCCTGAATGTCTTGTTTGGAGAAGTTAGGTCAAAACAATTTTTACTTCTCTTTCCAGTGTTTTAGGTTTACATTACAGAATCTGTATTAAGAAAGTAGTGCTGCACATTGTGATTTAGATTTTAATAGCATGTAACCAATCATGATACTGCCTAACCACTATGTTCTCCAGAAATCCAGAATGCCATGTAATATGGCTGTTCTCTGTTGCATGCTTTATTATAAACTCTATTTAGGATTCACAAATGATCTTACGTATATAAAGAATTTGCTATGTGTATTTATTTCTCCATGGAATATAATGGGAATTCAGAATCTTGAAGATGAGGGATGGGGTAAGGTGAAGCTTCTCTTTAATATATTCTTTGGACCAACAGTGGAACTGCAAATGTTAAGTTTCTTTCTAAGCAACATCGGTGAAGGTACTTACCTTTGTGTTGGAAGTGCAATGCATATTGCATACATTCTTGATGAAGGCATTTATTCTTAAACAATGAATCTTCAAAATCCCTAATAAAAACAGAGGATAACAAAGATAAAGAAGCAACTATCTAATTTGCTTGCACCCTGATATATTTCATAATCCAAGAGAGCTAGCTGAGATTAGTAGACCTGCATACTATGTCTGTTATACATGCATATGAGCGGTTTTATGTTTAAGTAAATGTTCTAAATGTGTGAATAAGTTGTAGTTGACACTGCTTCATGATATTTTTTTTTCCCTTTCAATATCAGGCTCAGAAGAAAATGTCTAAGCACTTGGATCAGATGCAGGCTATACAAGAGCAGGTTTGTTTGTGCTATTGTCTTTTCTTCCTGTTCTGTTTTAATGTGTCTGCTTTGGGGTATTCCAGTTCATATTTTGCATTGACCATTATGTATTTATGAATCAACAGTCTGCAGCTTATAGTAAGAGAGTGCTGTCTTAGATTTAAAATTGATACTCCAGAATGATATTGTAAACCAGGCTGTCAAGTGTCAAGTTCGGGTTTCTCTTGGGCAAAAAGTGTGCGTTGAGGCTCTCATCAATGCCTTTATATTCTGACAGGTGAATTCAGTTAAATCAATCGAGAAGGAAGTTAAGGTTCTCAAAGCTAAGCTGAGTGACGAAGAAGTGTTAGACAAATCACTTGAGGCTAAACTAGTTGAAAGGCAAGGGAAAGGTAGCTGCACCTGTCTGCTCTTTGAATTATTCTTATTTTCTAGCTTTCTCTGCAATTTAAAGATAGAAAGTATGTTGGGACAGCGGACCAATTGGACGAAATGAGAAAGCAAGTAGAAAAAGAATGTGCCCTCTCTCGTGAAGAGGCTTCAAAAGAATTAAACAATGTGAAGTCAGAAGTGGAATCAACAAGGTGTGGTCTTGAGTTGAGGCAAAGGCAGGTCGAAGCAGTGATCACTGAGGTACTTGTTATGCTTCAAATTTTCTGGGCCGAGTATATAATGATCTGAATTTGTGAAGGCTCACTAAAACTTCATCCTATCCCAATTAGGGGGATGCTGTTACTGCAAAGATGAATTCAGTAAGAGAGAGTGGAACAGCCAAGTGTGAAGCGTTGTGTCGTAAACTTGAGGAGGTTGTGAAAGAGGTAATTATTTATTCTTTTACCTTTTTAATTTCTATCATGTATATGTTTGTCATAGACATTGCATACGAAGGCAGATGTTTTCAGTTTGGAATCTCTGTTTGCATACGGAATAATGTAGTTTACATAAATTCTTATCCATAAGACCATAAATATAAATATAGGGATTCTCTGTAGTATACCTAGTACAATTAGATATATCACACTAGGTGGTACACAGTGCTGATTGACACCATAAAAAATCATACAAAGAAAAATGACATTTTGTCCCTTGAATTATTTTACCCTTGGAAATTTGGTCCCTGCAAGTTAATTTAAATATATTTAGTCCCTTAATTGTTCATAATATTGTACCTTTAGTCTCTAGTGATTAGTGTTATATTACTTATATAATTGTCAAACTCCATTAATATATGAGGTTATTTTTATCATTTAGAATCAATATTCAATGTTAAAAATGATGTTTACATGGAGAGAGTGAAACTTTAATTATGGATATTGATTCCAAATGGCAAAAATAACCTAAGCAAAATTGTTGGCTAACAGAGTTTGAGGAAAAACGACACTTTTGGCTCATGAATTGTTTCACTTTTGAAAATTTTGTCTCTATAAATTAATTTAAACAAATTTAGCTTCTTAATTCAAAAGTGAAACAATTCAAGAGCCAAAAAGGTATTGTTTCCTCATCATATAAATATACACGATCTCCTACTCCTTGGGTGTGGGCTTCCTAAACTGAAACCATACAAATTTTTCGAGTTAAGCCAAAAGGTAGCCTAAAAACCGTGTTGGGGTACACCTTACTGCATTTTGTGTGCATTTTTCTGTCCATTCCCTTCTTAATGATTGTTTTGTTATGTGCTATGGTGCTTGCAGTTTACTAAGTATTCAGACTCTGTTAGAGACTTGCTGCAGCGCTATGAAATGAGCCCGGTGGTTCTTTCAGGCAGCAGCTGATCCTTCAAAACAAATTGCTCATATCCATGTATATAAGTAGAGTTTTCTGTCATGGCTATAGCAGTATATATTGACAAAGCAAGAACAGAACTTGTCTTTCAAGAACCTGATGAAATTTCATGTTTTGATTTGATTCCTATAATTTATAATGCACTTAAGTTCTTATCAATTGTGGGTGTCCTTTGAGTTAAATAACCATTTTAGTCCTCAATCTTTCAATATAAACGGATTAGTGGTACGGGCTTGAAGATGTCTTATACAGTTAGGGCTTACTCTTGACATTTCGTAATTTAACAAAAAAAAAAAAAAAAAAAAAACAAAAACATATACAACACTCAAGGTTTTAGTCACATAGTTGACGTCAACAATTACTATTCGATGATGAATACTGGGTGTTTTTATGCAGTAGTTAACAAACTACACATGTAATGGGTTTAATTGAGTGGGTATTAACAAGAATTAAATTTGTGATCATCTTGTTCTGTTTTATTTTTTTAAATTATGATTGAATAATGTTTTTAGTCGGGTATAATTTAATTAATACTACCAATTGTCTAATTATTTTGGGAGTTAGGAATGGAATCGATAGTCCATATTGTAACATAGGAATTCATAGCAACAACTCCGTTGTAGTCTAGTCCGTTAGGATATTCGGCTCGGCAACGGAATTATTATTTTTAAGTTTTTTTTTTTTGTTCTCAGACTTTGCTGATTGGAATTCTGTTCTCAACATTACTTAATATTTCAGAAATTTATAGGCACCAAGTCAACAATTCCGTTGTAGTCTAGTCGGTTAGGATATTCGGCTCTCACCCGAAAGACCCGGGTTCGATTCCCGGCAACGGAATTGCTATTTTAAGTTTTTTTTGTTTCTCGGACCTTGCCTGCTAAAATTCTGTTCTCAACGTAAGCTTAGTATTTTAGAATTTTGTAGGCAATAAATAAACAACTCCGTTGTAGTCTAGTTGGTTAGGATATTCGGCTCTCACCCGAAAGACCCGGGTTCGATTCCCGGCAACGGAATTGGTGTTTAAGTCTTTTTGTATCTCAGACCTTGCCAGCTAACCTTAAAATTTCAGAAATTTGTAGGCAAAGTGACCAATGAATCATACAAAATTACAAACAAATTCTTCAGGGTAACAAAACACTCGCTTATGGAGTTTTAAGGTAACTACAAGGATTTAAGAATTTCATTTTAAATGATTTGGGTAGTTTCTCTGCCTTTAGCGAAAGTATTTAGGAAAAACCAATCTTTTTATGCTACCAGCTATTCAAGTCACAAAGACACAAGGACAACTCCACCATAATACATCTCCGGAATGATAATAATAAAAATGTTTATTGTGTAGAACGTAGATATTATTAAATTCAAAAATTTGCTAAAAGATATAAGGTATCATTCCTTCAATATTCCCAAATCTCTGAAAGTATATCCAAAGAAAAAAATGGAATTGGAAATTCATAATATCAACAACTTCTCTAATCATATCATTCCCCCGGTAACGTAGAACACAGTTTCTTTTTCTTTTTTCTCTCTTTCCAGCTCAATTACTTTACCCAAAGTTTTCCATAATAGTACAACACTGAACAAAGGTTTCACTCGAAACACATCTCATCTGATATCAAAACGCTGCCCATCCGGCTCCTGTGGTTTTACTAGAACCCGATCCAGTCTCCGCTGGCAGGCTCTTCTGCACATCCCAAAATAAATTATTAACATCTCTCAACTCACTCTCAAATGCATGTGTTACATAAAACTGACATACATATAAGACCATCAAAAAGACAAGGCAAAAAATCAGTCATTAGAGTCTGTAATTACTGCATATGTTATCTCTGCAACCTAATGGAATCAATGGATAACAGTTGTACAATATAAGTTCTTAAACTTATTGATGCCATCAACATTCAATAAAGAATATCACTTCTTAAAGCAAACGGCACTTTATAGATTAAGCTATGGCTGTTCATAAAAACTAAGTCTTAGAAACCCTTGTAGGAATCACCTATAGCACAATTTCTATTTTCTAAGTGGTATGGAAAGAGAGTACCCCAATTGAGAACGGTTCAGTCCCAGTCTCAGGCTATGTCACATATATATCACCAGCCTACGGAAATCTAAGGAGATCTCTTGAAAATTATTGTTTTTGTTCAGCATTTAGTAAATTGGTATTTATTGAATATGCATAACAAAATGTTGAACTAATATTGATATGGGTAATATGTATGACACTATTGTTGCATTTGGTTAATGCAATTTGAACTACCACCATTCACAAACTTCTCTCTCTATCTCGCAAACCACTGGAGATCAGGAGAACCTCTTTCTATTTATTTTCTCCCAAATCCTCATCTCTCAGTCTATACATATACTCACAGCACTCTAATTGGAAAACCCAAACTGCAGGCACGTGGTATGTCACTCTAATACATACTAGTATTTTCTCAACATAACACTCGTAGTTTATTTGGAGCTAAATTTTCAAACCCAAGCCATGGACACACCAACTGCACCAAGAGAAGATTGTGATAGTGCATTGATTTTCTCAAGCAGTCTCACCCATTCTTCTCATGACAAACTATGAGGATCAAACTCAGCTACTCAATGAAGAGTAAAAATTTAAAATAATAAAACAAAAATACCACGATGTGCAAAACACACTACCAGTAGAAGGCATATGAAGTTCATTAAAATGAAAGTACACAATACCTCGAGTGGAGAGAGATCTGATAATGGATCAGCAGAATGATTTGTATTTTCCTTGGGCACTTTGAGTGATGTACCCTGACTAGCAGAAGTCTTGCGAACAACAACAGTGTCATTGGGAGGTGGTGGAAGAGGAGATCTGATTTTGCCAGCCCCAATAGGCGGTGGCACAAGGCCTAGGGTCTTGGATTTCCCAGGTCCAGTAAGTCCACTTGTCAATCCAGCAGCTGAAAGCATGCCTGCTCCAGTAGAAGGTTTGTTCTTTACATTTATCCTTATGGTTTCTCCTTCCTATGGACAAAACTATTGAAAGTTACTCAATGCAGATCAAGAACAAAAATTTCAATCAACATTCCCTATAGCCTAGAAATGCACAATGAAAACAGGCTACGTGTTACGGAGTATTATGTAAAAGTGAAAATTGAAAAAAACATTTCACAATTGGAAGAACAGGTGGCTCAGGTAGTTAATAAAGATAGCAGTTTTAAGTCCACACAAGGAGTTAAGCAAACCAAAGCATAAATACAACTTGCTTTGGGATTATACCAAAGCCTAAATGATTGCTGAACTAAATCATCAGCTCAATGAAAAAAGGAATAGTTTTCTTTGTGAAAGCCTCAATTATGTTTAAGTAAGCTGGCACTAGCAAACTTCAGCACATGTTTACACTAGTGAATAAAATAAACATTCATGTATTATTGTATTGCATATTCTCTATATTTCCTTTTTGAAACTCCCTTATACCTAGAATGCATAGAGGTCAGCAAATATAGTGCACGAATTTCTGCTTAATTTATAGCCCTAAGGGTTCCAAAAAGAATCCAGTTTATCTTGATCTATCATACTGGAGGTTCGGAAAGCTAGCAGGGATCAATTTGACAGGAATATCTCTGGTCATTTCATTCATTTGAGTGCAGACTTCTCAAAATGTGCTATATAGAATAATTACTAGTAAAAAAGTGAACGGCAGCAAGTATTATGAGCTGAGAATACTTCAAAATTCTTACCTTTAAGCGGTGATTTACAGCTGGATGAACGTCAATATGACTATTCTCATCACTGGTCTGACCATCGCCGGCCTCCTTCTCGTGGTCTCTCTTTACGTACTTGTCGTGATCCGACAATGCCACATTGAAATCGAAAGCCTCGTTTCTCTCGTTAAACCCTAGCCCGATGAACGCGTGCTTGCCGCGGCCATCCTCGATCTTCAGCACGAAGTACCTGGAAGAGTCGAGAACCGACTCGACGGAGCTCTCCCGCTGGCCGGGATGCACGAAGCAAGCAGCAAAGAGCTCGCCGGAGTTGGGATCCTCGAGCCGGATCTCGCAGCGTTCCTTGCAGGACACCACCCGGAGGCGGCCGGACCAGATCTTGTCGGACTGAAGCCACTCTCCGCACTTGTAGCCGCCGCTGGTGGGGCGCGGCGGGATTTTGAAAACCGACACCTCACGCACCACCAGGAGCGTGTGCTCGAACGACTCCTCGTCCTCTTCAAACGACATCGTTTCAGCTCGCAGCAACGGGTGCGGCGCAATGCACTATAGTTGTGGCTAGTTCAAACGCAATTGCTCCTGAGCTTCAGATCCAGCAGATATGGTGGCTGTTAATGGCGATGAAATTCTTAGCTTTAAAGTCACGTAGGGGCTTATTACAGGGATGGCTCAGCAGCACACAGCACACTATTTCTATTCATCTCTACTTAATTGTGATCTTTGAGATTTTACCGGTCAAATGGAGATTTCGTATAATTGCAAGGTCAAATCCAAAATCAAAATGGAATAATTCCATATATAATGCTTTTTAGTGTTTTTTTTTTTTTTTAAGAAATAAAATCACATCTAATTACTATAGAACAGGGCATTACAAATGAAAATGAAAAAATGAACAGATATTACAATGTAATAGAGCTAGTAGCATTCAAAAAAAAAATGAAAATAGGAGAATTAAAGAACACTCATTACAATCTGTCGTAGAAATAGATTCTCTTTCAAGACAATGAGCAATCTCATTTATGGACCGTTTAACAAAAGTGACATTCACATTTGATAATTGCTTAATAACATTAACAATGTCTAACACTATCAAATCAAAAGAAGATAAAGAAGTTGGCTCATGCAACTCCTGAACAACCAGCAATGCATTAGTTTCCACCATAATCGGATAATAGTCATGATTCTTTAATCAATTTATAAATTCCTTTACAGCTTCAGTATCAAGCTTCCTTGATGTGAAAACCCCGTCAATTGTCCTTGTAGCGTATGCCTCAAATGAGTCGTGTTCATCCCTAATCACCCAGTTAAATCCCATCTTGTTGGAGGCCGAATCAATCGTAACATCCACATTTAGTTTCCTCCTGCCAGCTGGGGGGCAAGTCCATCTTTGTGCCTATTGGATATGTGCGATGCCACCTGCTTAGCTTTTATGACAACAAGTCGTCATTCTTGTAAAAATTTCCTAACTTGCTCCGCCACAATTCTTACAGAAGTTTGATGATTATTCCGCACTTTGGCATTTCTAGCTACCCAAATGCTCAAAGAATACATCACAAAAGTAGTTGATTGCGCACAATTAAGCATCTTCATGATTTCTTAAATCCACTCTACAAAGGAGCATGTATTTGTCACCGGAATACTACAATCAAATAGGTTCCAGGTATCTCTAGCAAGTTGGCAATCCACAAAAATATGAATAATAGATCCCCCTTCCAATAACAGATTATTCACCTGGAATAATCGGGCAACAAATTCCGGCGACCAGATCTAGCCGCCCTCTCCAGTGGAGAAGGCGACCGGACTGGCCACCTTTTCCACTGGAGAAGACGGCCAGATCTGGTCGCCTTCTCCACCGGAGAAGACAACCGGTTGTCTTCTCCAGTACTTTTTTTTGTCGCCGGATTTTTTTCGCCGAAATTTGTTGACCGGTTATTCCAAGTGAAAAATCTGTTATTGGACTTATTTGACTCAAAATAACAAGTTGAAGGACCTAATTGCACATTTTAAAAATTGAAGGGCCTAATTACTTTTTTGTCTATAGTTCAATAATAAACTTTTTTTCCTTTTTAATATATTACAATAAATTCATTTCGCGAATCACACGGGTAAAAATATTAGTACGCGTAAACAAAAAAGAAAAGAAAAGAAAAGAAAAAAACATATAGAAAAGGAAAAGCCGCATCCACACGCACAAGAGTGACGCGTGCCCGACATCACTCCCGGCACTATTAAGTATTAACCCCCAAACCCTCCATTCTTCACCCGCCGTTTTCCTCGCTAATATAAATTATAGTACAAAGCAGAACCGGAAACCCTCACTCAGCTCAGCCGCAGGGTTTTATACACTAACAAAGAGAAGCCGGCGGAGAGTTTGAGAGGAAGCGATGGCGCAGTCATTGGAGTTATTGCTTATTCAGTTTCTGATGCCGGACAATGACGCCCGGAGGCAGGCGGAGGACCAGATAAAGCGGCTTGCAAAGGATCCGCAGGTGGTCCCCGCCCTAATTCACCACTTACGTACCGCCAAGACGCCCAACGTCCGCCAGCTCGCCGCCGTCCTCCTACGCAAGAAGATCACCGGCCATTGGGGCAAGCTTTCTCCTCAGCTCCGTCAGCTTGTCAAGCAGTCCTTAATTGACAGCATCACTGTGGAGCACAGGTCTTAAACACTCTCGTATTCACTTGAATTTCCTGTTTTGCTGAATAATTTTATTTTATTTTATTTGAATGCAAAATGTTTTCATGCACAATGCCAATATACTGTGTTATTTGCTTGTTCGACTCTGTATACTGATATCTAACTATACAGTAAACGTGTTTGTACATGAGTTTCCCAATTTTCACAGAGTAGAATGTGGTAACTCTCAACTTTAGAATGTGATGCGCGATCTTATAAAAATTTGGACCAGTTGATGTATCAATCCTTATTAACTTCTATATGTTTTGCTTTTGCAGTGCGCCTGTTAGGCGAGCCAGTGCTAATGTGGTGAGTATTATTGCAAAGTATGCAGTTCCAGCTGGTGAATGGCCTGATCTGTTGCCATTCTTATTTCAGTGCAGTCAAAGTCCTCAAGAAGACCACAGAGAAGTATGCTATCATTCATCTAGTGCTTTTGCAGGACTACTTAATTCATATGGCTACTCATTTTCAATGGACTAATGCTGCTTGCTATCTGTGATGTGAAGGTTGCCTTGATACTTTTCAGCTCCTTAACCGAAACAATAGGGAATTCTTTTCGTCCATATTTTACTGACTTACAGTCACTGCTGCTTAAGTGCCTTCAAGATGAAATTAGCAGTCGTGTTAGGGTTGCTGCTCTGAAGTAAGACTTGTCTCAAAAAATTTCTCAGTCTTTTTGTTAGTTATTTAACACGTGATTGTCTTTTATATGTCTTGCATCTCATGCCAATTGGAATTTAACTTTCTTTGACAGGTCAGTTGGATCTTTTCTAGAGTTCACTCATGATCAGGATGAAGTGGTGAGAGCTTTTAGCATTTCCAAATTCGGTGTCATTTATAGCCATATTCATCTGTCAAAAGCAATTTTACATAATTGCCTACTGCTAAGAAAATGATACCTGAAATAATGTTCACTGGCCCATGATTCACAGTGAATATATATATATATATATCTCTTTGAAAATTTTGAGTCCTGCCTGCCTCTTTTATGTGTTCATTTACATCTGCATTTTTTCCTAAATTCTATGAGCTGGGTGGGTGGTTATATAAAATGTGGATGGTTGATTTTCAACAGAATTCTTATACTGCCTTTCTTCACTCATGGCAGGTGAAGTTTAGGGAATTCATTCCCAGTATTTTGAATGTATCGAGACAATGTCTTTCTTCTGGTGATGAGGATGTTGCTATACTTGCTTTTGAAATATTTGATGAGCTGATAGAATCTCCTGCACCTATTCTTGGAGATTCAGTTAAGGCTATTGTGCAGTTTTCTCTTGAGGTTTGCTCTAGCCCCAGTTTGGAACCCAACACACGCCATCAGGTAGGAGCATTATTTTTTTCTTGGTGGAACTTTTAGTTGTATATGGATTCTTTATTTGTTTATAAATTTCCTGCATAGTTTGTTGCCTTGCTCCTTATTTGTTCATCCTGAATTTTCTTTCATTTGGTGTTTCTTTTTTATTTTCTTATTTATCAGGCAATTCAAATAATCTCATGGCTTGGAAAATTTAAGCACAATTCTCTTAAAAAGTACAAGCTTGTCACACCAATTCTGCAAGTTATGTGTCCGTTGCTTGCAGAGTCCACAAACAGGGATGAAGATGATGATCTTGCACCAGATCGAGCTGCTGCAGAAGTTATTGATACCATAGCCATAAACCTGCCTAAACATGTGTTTCCACCTGTTTTTGAATTTGCTTCTTTGAGCATCCAAAGTCCCAATCCAAAGTTTAGGGAAGCTTCAGTCACATCTCTGGGTGTTATATCCGAGGGTTGTTCGGAGCTCATGAAAGATAAGTTGGCCCCTGTTCTTCAGGTGGTCTTAGGGGCCCTCAGAGATCCTGAACAAATGGTGAGAGGTGCTGCTTCATTTGCAATGGGCCAATTTGCTGAGCATCTGCAGCCTGAGATAGTGTCTCACTATGAAAGTGTTCTCCCTTGCATTTTAAGTGCCCTAGAGGATGTATCTGATGAAGTTAAGGTGTGAATTTGTTCTGTCAGAGATGTATTCTTCACTTCTGCCCATTTTTATGCATTCATTAATTAGTTTTATTTCTGTGCAGGAAAAGTCATATTACGCTCTGGCAGCATTCTGTGAGAACATGGGTGAAGAGATTCTTCCTTTTCTGGATCCTTTGATGGGGAAACTACTTAATGCGCTGCAAAATAGCCCTCGCAACTTGCAGGAGACTTGCATGGTAGTATTATTATTTATATGTGATAGTATGGTCTCATGTGTTTCTGTTTTCATATATTCTGTTTCCTGTTGCAGTCTGCCATTGGTTCAGTTGCATCAGCAGCAGAGCAAGCATTTGTTCCATATTCTCAGCGAGTTTTGGAGATGATAAAAATTTTCATGGTGCTTACGAATGATGAAGACCTGCGTTCGCGAGCCAGAGCTACTGAATTGGTTGGTATAGTTGCAATGTCTGCTGGAAGGGATAGGATGGAGTCCATTTTACCACCTTTCATTGAAGCTGCAATTTCTGTAAGAAATTTTGTTACTCTTTTGCATTCTGGGGTTTGACAGTTTTTTGTACAACTTGGCTTACCAATTTAATATGTCAGGGATTTTCCTTGGAGTTCAGTGAACTTCGGGAGTATACTCATGGGTTCTTCAGTAATGTAGCAGAAATTTTAGATGATGGATTTGCTCAGGTATTATTCTTGGCTTAGGAACTTTTACATTCTTGTCTAAAATGTCTTATGCTGTTATCATATTGTCACAGTATCTTCCTCATGTTGTTCATCTGGCCTTCTCATCCTGCAACCTTGATGATGGCTCTGCCGTAGATATTGATGACTCTGATGAGGATGAGAATATTCATGGATTTGGTGGAGTTTCCTCTGATGATGAGGCACATGATGAAGCGCGGGTTCGAAATATCAGTATAAGAACTGGTGTATTGGATGAAAAGGCAGCTGCTACTCAAGCTCTTGGCCTGTTTGCTCTACATACAAAGAAGTCCTATGCACCGTATCCTCTGAGATTGTTTACTATTTATTCATACCACATTTGCGATATAAAATGGAGTAAAAAAATATCATCGTTCTTTGGATTACCTTAATATATTTCAAGATACTTGGAAGAGACACTGAAGATTATGGTAAAACATTCTTCCTATTTTCATGAGGATGTTCGACTGCAGGCGATTATTGGTCTCAAGCGTAAGTGGTGGCTATATGCTGGACATATGAATCTCCTTTCATATCATTTATCCCACTGATTTAAATGCTAGATTTTAATTCCCGTGTCACTATACTTTAACCAAGTTTAGATAAGATTAAAGTTTATATCCCAAAGCGAAAGATTATTAAACTTGGTTTAGAAAAATTAAAGCAGAAGATTAAAAAAAACATTATATCCCAATGCTGGATATATGAATTCTTCAATGTCACAAAATTTTAACCAAGTCTAGATAAGATATTAAAAGAAGAATAAGAAGAAGAAGAAAATTGACTGTTTGTGACATTGAAGTTTGATGGTACCATTAGTATATGCTGCAATTAACAGTCAACCTTTCTACATTGTTTTTCAGATGTTTTAACAGCCACTCATGCAGTTCTCCAAGATCATAATGTGAGTGTAATAATCTTTTACTCCAAATTTGTGACCATTGCTTATGCTTTTACATGAGTAGATGGTGCATTGTTCCAGTTGCCATCTGGTTGGATTTCTAACAGGCTTTTCAATTTGCTCTACTGTTGAAACACTTTGCATGTTTGATAATTTGTTGACTCCCTATTTGCTTAATTGATTGAAAATTAATTTCAGTAACATAATTTTTGTCAAGTAGTTGGATTAAGTTAAAAACTCATTAAAAAATTAAGATTAAGTTTTGTGTTTTTTGGTGAACGACCATTTGTTATTGTTCTTTTACACAGGAGGGAGCAGTGAAAGCAAATGAAGTGCTTGGTAAGATATGATTCCTTTGCCAAACAATGATCATTGGCATTTTCCAGTTGATATATTATAATAAACACATTTTTAATTTGTTGGCAGCCACTGTGATGGGTATCTGTATCAAGGCAATGGCTGAAGATGATGACAAGGAAGTTGTTGCTCAAGCTTGTATGGGCATTGCTGACATTACAAAGGATTTTGGATATGCGACTGTTGAGCCCTGTAAGCATACAGTTTACAGTTTCTTGGTTTCTCTCTCTAATATATTTATTTAGATTCTCCTCTCATCAAAAAACTTATTAAGTTGTTTTACTTAATCCATGGGTTAACTGCAGACATGGCTGAGCTTGTTGAGGCAACCTTAGTGCTGCTCAAAGAGCAATCTGCTTGCCAGCTAATTGAATCAGACAGTGAGGTAGATGATGATGACACTGCACATGATGAAGTGCTTATGGATGCTGTTTCAGATCTCCTTCCTGCCTTTGCAAAGGCAATGGGTCCTCAGTTTGCTCCTGTCTTTTCAAAGCTGTTTGATCCTTTGATGAAGTTTGCGGTAATTCAGCAATAACTGCATGCTATACTTGCCTTTCCTTTGATCATTTCTTAAGTATGTTCACATGTTTAATACCATATACTATTTGATTGCAGAGAGCAACACGCCCACCCCAAGATCGAACTATGGTTGTTGCAAGCCTTGCAGAAGTCGCTCAGCATATGGGTGCTCCAATTGCCAACTACATCGATGTAAGTTTAACCAACTGTTTTACATTGACCCCCTATTTTATTGTTTTCGTATTTGTCATTCTGAGCATTACATCAATGCTTCAGGGTGTGATGCCTCTGGTACTCAAGGAATTAGCATCTCCAGAGCCAACAAACCGCAGGAATGCTGCTTTTTGTGCTGGGGAGTTGTGCAAAAATGGTGGCGAGTCTGTTTTGAAGTATCCTTGTCACAAAACTTAAGTTTTTGGGAGTTTCTCCATTTCATATGTTCTCACTCTCGTTAAATAGGGGACTGTATACGCTGTATATGCCACTGAGCTCTTAACTTTCCCGTTTCCCTTTTTTGGTCTTTCCGATCTTCTATGTGTGCTCCTTAAATTTGTGCTAGATACTATGGCCAAGTCTTGCACGGTCTTTACCCATTATTTGGCGAATCTGAGCCAGATAATGCAGTTAGAGACAACGCTGCTGGTGCGGTAGCAAGGATGATTATGGTGCATCCAGAATCAATCCCATTGAATCAGGTTTACGTCTTGGCTGTTGTGCTTTTTGCTTTTGAGATTGCAACCTGTTAGCTTTACTAAAATTATTTTTGGATAGGTGCTTCCTGTTTTCTTGAAAGTGCTTCCTTTAAAAGAGGATCAGGAGGAATCAATGGCTGTATATAGCTGCATCTGTAATCTTGTCTTATCATCCAACTCCCAGGTACCAAATCTCTTTCTATTATCTGTATCATTGCTTTATCTTCACTCTTCTTACCTGAAATATTTTCTTACCCTTGTTTGGAGCACTTGTAGCATATTTCCTTTCATCTGTTCTCTTTCTAATATGCAGATACTCTCCTTGGTTCCGGAGTTGGTAAATATTTTTGCCCAGGTTGCCATTTCACCGGTTGAAACACCTGAGGTCAAGGCACATGTTGGCATGGCATTCTCTCATCTGTTTACCCTTTATGGTCAGCAATTGCAGCCTCTTTTGGGCAATCTTCCTCCTGCACACGCCAATGCCCTTGCCGCAATTGCCCCTAAGAGCTGAAGCCAGCTAGAGAACCAGTAACGGTCTTGTGCATTATTTCACACAAAATGGAACTTGTTCTCTAGACTGGAGTCAAATATGGCTGCTTTTATACAGGTATGCATTTAGACGCACCATTAACTTGTTCTGAATATATAAAGGCTATTTTCTTCTATGCTAGGTGTTATGAAGTTCCACTTGTGTTCCTGTCATTATAGATATGAGAATAAATCTCTTTTACAGTATGTTGTGCTCTCCATAGGACACTGATCATAAAAAAAAATTGACATTTAGTCATTTACAGATGATTAACTAAATTTGCATGAAATGTTATCCATATTAATTTAAAAATCTCCTTTTTCTATCTAACAGATGGAATTCAGATTTATCCTTGTGTATTTACCCATTTTGCAGGCTTTATTTTTCACCGTTTCAGCTGTCTCCAGTTTTGTTGCGTGGAGCTGTCTCGTTTGCCAGTTTTGATACATCCTACTATTATTTTTAGTTCAAATTTTGTTTTTCCTTGTGTGGGGTTTTGTCATTACACACGGGCTCTTTTCTCAGTGTTTATTATTAATATAGAGGTGGGTGATTGGAAATGATATTGTTGGGGGTGTTGATAATTCTATATTTATTTATTGGTAGAACAAGAAATAAGGTGTGTATATCTTCAATTCTTGTGTGATTTCGAATATTCATCTGAGTGAAATATGAAAGATTTCCTAAAATTCCCCTATCCTTTTCAATTATCCATAATCTTTTCTGTGCATATACAATATCTGTTAGATGATTATAGTATTATACACCACATTTATACTTTCTGCCTAGCTAAAACTACCATGGATGTACATTATACTTCAACCCCCACCCTATCCAGTTCCCCGGTTAAATTTTTATCCTTCGGGAGGGACAACTCTATATCCCCCCGGGGAATAACCTCATCAGCAACAATCTTGTAGTATTCTTGCAGCTTCTGCTCTCTGTTCATCGCTCAAATCTGTAGGAAAGTCGACGAGAAACTTGAGCAGAAGGTCTCCTCTCTGGCCTTCAAGATTCTTGGGTTTAGGCATGCCTTGGCCGGGGACAGTCATTTCATATCCAGGATAAATGATGTCATCCAATTCCAGAGTCATGCTCTCACCTCCCAGCAAGGGCACTGTTATTGTGCAGCCGGTGAGAGCTTGCACCAAAGGGATCTCAACTCCTAGCTCCAAATCATCACCTTCCCTCTTGAACACAGGGTGTGTCTTTTCTTCAATAGAGAAGATTACATCGGCTGGGAGCATGCCTGGCCTCTCATCTCCCTTCCCTTCAAATGTAATCTTTGTCCCCTTCTTCCACCCTGGCTGCACTACTATTGTTACATACTCCTCTTCTCGAACAATTAGCCTGCCACAATGTCAAGTTCTATCAGTATTTGGAGAACACTTACGGTGTGTGTCTATGTACATGGAAAATGCTACCACGCTTATTGACACCTATGGTTTTTGCACTCAGTACCACTGATGCTATTGGTAATGATTTTCAATTGTATTTGGTGCGACCAAGTTTGTATACATGATAGTATTGAGTGAAAAAGACTGATTGGTACTTTAGAATGTTTATACAAATGATAGAAATGATAATATATAGAGAGTGAAAACTTAATAGTGGGATTTTTGGTGTGGTTTTTGAGGAGTTTTTGTAGGTGTGATTATGAAAGAGAAAATGAGATGAAATAAAAAATGGAGAAAAAAAAAAACAAAACAAAGCTGAATTAAAAAAAAAATGATAAGGTCATTAATGCGCCCAGCTGGCGCGCGTGCGCAATTGTTCCTTTCATCAGTTGGGCTCCACAAGCTGACAAAAACCCCAAATTAGTAGGAGGACCTCATGCATTCTCTCTCTTTCATGTTGCCAATTTGTCTAAAAAATCTTGAACAATCCACTAATGTAGATGCTCTTATATCCTAATTTGATGGCTTAAATAGTTTTGCAACTCTAGAAAAAAATTAAAACTTTATAAGAGCATCATCAATAGTAGCAAACTTTTGGTGGTTTTTGTCAGCTGCATGTGCAAGGCGGAGAGAGGAGAGAGAAAAAGTAAAAAGAAAGAAAAAGGTTAAAAGTGAACAGTGTTGTGATTGGGACTCACAATGATTCTTGATTTGCATAAGAAAAAATTAATAAAAAATCATACCCTCCATTTATCAAAAATCAATGCATGATTTTTTTTTTTTTTTTGACAAAATAAACAAAAACCCTCAAATTGGGATGCTCTAAGAGTACATGAATCTATATCATTCATCTAAAAATTTCATGAAAATTTTGAAGTGTTAATAATACTTAATACAATTATATATATTTTACATGATTATGTAGAGTATTATTGAAAATTATTATCAATAATATTCAGTACAATCATGTATGATGTAAATTAGCAAGGAGTATAAATTTGGGTAGTATATGTGACAAATGACAATAATGACATGGTGCTCTCATGACATTGTTGAGTTTTGTTATAATATTAGCTCATATATATATATATATATATATATATATATATATATATATATATATATATATATATATATATAGGATTATTATGTACGAAGTAATAATTGTGCATGGGAAAGGATGACATATGCATACGTACCCAGAGCTTGAAATGACCTCTCTTGTAATCTTAACCACCTTAACTCGTCCATGGCACAGCTCCTCCAGCGTGCAGTCCAGCTTCTTCTCCACCGGCTGCGGCTTTCTCCGAGCAATCGACTGCGAGTAGATAATCGGCGTGCTGTTTTTTTTGCCCGTCACCTTGGAATGAAGGCTCAGGTCCGCCGTCGGGGTAGTAAGCGTCGGCGAAGGGGTGTTTCCTCCGCTGCTAGGTACCCAAGATGACGACGTCGTTCTCTGTATATGCGTATGAAAGTCCTGCCGCGTCGGCGAAGGGGTGTTTCTTCCGCTGCTAGCTGCCCAAGATGCCGACGTCGTTCTCTGTATATGCGTATAAAAGTCCTGCCGCGGCGGCGAAGGGGTGTTTCCTCCGCTGCTAGCTGCCCAAGATGCCGACGTCGTTCTCTGTATATGCGTATAAAAGTCCTGCCGCGTCGCCGTCCTGCTCCTCCGGGTGGCGCTCTTCGACACTTTCCGGCTAATTTCCGGCGCGATTCGGCTGGTGGTCCGAGACAGGAGCCTGGGGCTGGAAATCACGAACTCTTGCTCCCCGCCTTCCTCCTCTAGATCCGAATTTTTCGGTGATTTCTGCTCCGAATTTTTCGGTGATTTCTGCTCCGAATTTTTCGGTGATTTCTGCTCTTCCCCGTCCCACGAACCCCTGCTCGCTTCTTCTCTCTTTTTCATACTAAGAGCCTGAAATTCAAATTCAAATCATCCATTGAATCATCAATTAATCCCTCCAAATTTTAGTTAAATAATAGAAAAATCGGTGAAAATGAAACGATCATATATAATACACAGTTTTGCAGGGAGTAATAATGAAAATGGAGGTTTAATTTCGTACGCTCTACACATACCCTATAGGCTTCATTAATGCAGGTGAACTTGGCCTGAGCTTCATCGCGGTTGAGACTATTCCGATCAGGGTGCCATTTCCGGACAAGGCATTTGTACGCTTTGCAAATGTCGACAAGTGTTGCGGCTCTGGAGATCCCAAGGACGTTGTAAAAATTATTTGTTGTCCTCGGCGACTTCGGATGATGATCTCCCATGTGCAGCAGACTGGTTGTTTCCGGTACCGTTCGCGGTGGCGGGCGGCGGAGACAATGAAGGAGATCAGGTCGTTCTGGGTAGCTAGCTAGCGAGAGAAGATTGAGATTGGAATTTTGAGATGGCGATAAAAATGATGGTAAAATTGTAGGTGTCTTTGCCCAAACAAGTGTGTGACCGTGGGACAACTTTTTAGCTTTTATTAGGCATGTCTTAATTTTACAATTATATATATTTATAAAAACCTAGTAAAAATAATCTCATATATTCATTTGAATGGCAATTTATATCGTGCACCACGGTGCACATAGAAATGTGCGCCAAGACACAAAATGCGCGCAGTTCATGCTGACGTCATTTCGTCCGTCCGAATAGACCAAATCCCATTATGTGTATTTAGTTAAAAATTTATGTGTATTGTGTTATGAGTTTATGTGTATTTAGTTAAGAGTTTGTGTATTATGTTAACCAAACCCCATTATGTGTATTCAGTTAAAAGTCTATGTGTATTCAGTTAAGAGTACAATTTATGTGTATTCAGTTAAAAGTTTATGTGTATTATGTATTATGTTAGATTATGTGTATTCTGTTATGAGTTTATGTGCATTCGAAACAGAGAATTTTTTTTAACAACTTAACAAATTAAAACGATGTCTTTTTGGGAGGCGCGGGGCGCACAGTGCTATGTGCACCGTGGTACACAGTATAACGATTGCATTTGAATTGATAAACGGTTTTTTTAAAAAATTGTGAAAATAATTTCATAAACATTACATAACTTTTCTTAAAAATATTGACACAATAATATGTTTCCCATGAATAAAAAATAAAAGATAAGTCGAGTTGATTAGTCTGTACCATAATATTTTAAGTTTGACTCTCTGTGACTATTTTGGTTTGAGTTTATTAGTTATGAGCAATTTAGAATGATTTACCTTCTTATAATCATTTATTTGTTAAGAAACACTTATTTAGTGCATACTCTTGATGAGTGACTGTCAATTTTTTTAGTCACCGGAAAGAATAAAAGATGAAAAAACATTTGGCACACCCCAATTGACTGAAAACTTTTTGTTTCATCATTTTCATATACATAATCTAACTACCAAACACAAATGACATTTCTAAGTAGTTTCTTCACAAGTGGCGCCAACTCTCTTACATTTACTGTTGTGTGCTATTTCTCTCTAAGTGGATTGCCCATGCAAGTTCAAACCAATAAACAATTTCCGCTTTGCTTTTTTTTTTTTTTTTTTACTAATAAACGTCAAACTATTATAAATAAGTCTGTCACCAAAAAAATAAATTTCAAATTCAATTCTCATACCATGCAAAAAAAAAAGATAAAAAATTGTCGAACTCATTAAGTGAAACTTCAGATAATGAATTCTAAATGAAATATCAAATATCTTTCATCTTTACCCATAGGAGTGTACATAAAATGATAAAATTCCTTATAAATTAATCAGATTTTAAATGCTTTGTCATTTTTGAAAGTCTTACCTAATACTGGGTATATAATTATTATTGACTGATCAGAAAACATATAGTGACAAAAAAAATATCTTTGATCTCTAAACAAAACAACAGCATCGTACCCCACCCATGTTGACATTCATCCAAGTGTTATACCAAACCATTTCGACTTTCAAAGAATCTGATTCATCTCTGCATCATCTCTACTACTGAATTCTGCAAATAGTTTTTTTGTTTTTGTTTTTCTTTTTGTTTTTTTCTTTTTATGTCGTATAAAATAAAAATATAATCTTTTTATAATTTCATCCTATTGATTCTTATGACGTTCAAAATAACGAGTTCCACATATTCATGTATGTCCACCACAACATCACATCCATGTATATGATTCTATATAATTGACGGCTGCCGCCTGAAAGAGTTCTAGATTTTTGAGAAACAAGAAGGAACCAACTTTGACTGAACTTTGCCATTTCTTAGATGCTGTAAATACCCCTTTTTCCCTTGTTTCTTAGATGCTGTAAACAGATGGAAACAGGAGAAAGAATTTGCAGGAAGATGAAGATGAAGAAGAAGAATTCTGGGTTCTTGATTCTTTCTATTTTGGGTTTTCTTTGTTCATTTTTAGCTCCAGTTTCTAGCAGCACAAGTTCATCTGGGACATGTCCTCTGGATCTTGGCTATGTTCTGGAAATCCCATGGTCAAAATCTGCCTGCAAAAATTTCCCAGATCCAAGCTTTGATAAAACCAAAGCAGGGGAAGACCACTGCTGCCAAACCCTTCTCTCTGTCTATGGTCTTGCCCTAGCAAAACACCTCAAAAAAACCAATCTTTTCCAGTTACCCAATTTAGAAACTTCCATTTCTTGCCTCCATGACTACCAAACCAAGCTCAGTTCTTTGGGGCTGTCTTCCAATCTCACCTCTCTCTGCTTTGACCCTGCCCAGTTTGTGGTCACAAATGCCTGTGCCTCCATTGAATCAACCCAAGATTGGGTTAAGAAGCTTGGGCCTTCTACACCTCTGGACTCTGCCTGTAAGCCTGACCTCAATGATTTGACCTCCTGTGATGACTGTGTAAAAGCAGGGTTCAGAGTTCAAGCTGAGTTGATAGGGATTGATGGTAATAAGTCTCACTCTACAATGTGTTTTTACTTTACTGTTGTGTATGCTGCTGGAATTGTTAACCAGTTTGGGCCTGAAAGTAGTAGTGCTATGCAATGTATATTAAGCATTCCTTTTGATTCCAAGAATGATTCTGGGAATAAGAAGCATTTGGCTGTAGTTTTTGGATTGGTAGGAGCTAGTGTTGCAGTTTTAGGCATGGGGTTGCTGCTAGGACTGTATTTCTGGTGGGATAAGAAGAAGAGGAGGAATAGGGATATGGAAATGGAGGAAATGGGGGGGTCTCGGTCTACGCCTAGAATGAGGCCTAATACGAGTATGTGGTTCAAGATTCGTGATCTTGAAAGGGCGACGGATGGTTTTTCATCGAAAAATTTCTTGGGGAGAGGTGGATTTGGGATTGTTTACAAGGGGACTTTAGGTGATGGGAGTGTTGTTGCTGTCAAGAGGATCATGGAGTCTGATTTTGAGAGGAAAGACGAGTTTTGCAATGAGGTTGAGATCATTAGCAACCTGAAGCATAGGAATCTCGTGCCACTTCGAGGGTGTTGTGTAATGGATGAAAATGAAACCGAGGATAGGGAGAACCATCGGTATCTGGTTTATGACTATATGCCGAATGGTAATCTTGATGATCATTTGTTTCTGAAGAATCAAATTGGAGCAAGTAAACCGCCTTTGAGTTGGCCTCAGAGAAGAAGCATAATCTTGGATGTGGCAAAAGGGCTCGCTTATCTGCACTATGGAGTAAAGCCGGCCATATATCACAGAGATATTAAGGCCACAAATATACTGTTAGATGCCGATATGAGGGCAAGAGTTGCAGACTTTGGGTTGGCGAAGCAAAGCAGAGAAGGGCAGTCTCATCTCACGACTAGGGTTGCAGGAACACACGGGTACTTAGCTCCCGAGTATGCACTTTATGGGCAGTTGACTGAGAAGAGTGATGTCTATAGCTTTGGGGTCGTTGTTCTAGAGATAATGTGTGGGAGAAAGGCTCTCGATTTCACTTCTCCATCACCTCGGGGATTCCTTATCACAGATTGGGCATGGTCATTTGTCAAATCCGGGAAGATTCACGAAGCACTTGATCCATCCTTAATGAAAGGCGGGGATTCTTCAAGTGCAAACCCAAGGGCGATAATGGAGAGATTTCTACTAGTTGGAATATTATGCGCCCATGTTATGGTAGCTCTAAGGCCTACTATCTTAGATGCACTGAAGATATTGGAAGGAGACATCGAGGTTCCTGAAATCCCCGACAGACCAGCACATCTCGGTCATCCCTCGTTTTATGGTGGAGATGGCAACACTATGAATACTACTTTTACTATATCACCAGCATTGAGTGTCCTGCAACTGCCTACTGCAGACATGCTCAGGTAAAACTCACAAGAACATCTTCGAGTTTTGTAGTTTTCTCTATCAGTTTAGTTAAGAGTTGAAGTTTATCTAAGTTTTTTCTTTCTGTCATTATCATTAGCAACTAAGCAAGGGCACATGTTCCCCTGTAATCCTGTATATATATAATCAGTTCTGTACCATTCTTGTAGCTGTATAAAAGATTTATCAAAGGCCAATGGCACCTTCTCATGTTTGTATCTTCATACTTTATTGTGTTTATTATTGCTTTGGATTACTTGACAATGTCAGGTTGGTCATCAGTGCATTACAGTGACCATTTTTTTGAGTTATGAGAAAAACATGCAGCTTCCACCCAAGGGTGCCTGGTGACCCTAGCTAGTAAAGAATCATAGAGGTAAACCAGCCTTGTGACCTTAGCTAACAAGAGGTAAGTCTGATTGGCTCAAACTAAGAAGGTCAACAGGCTGTCTCCATTGAAAGTCGAACTCAGAACCATCACATTGTGATTACTAAATCAATACTAACTTGGGGTTGCACCTCTCTTAAGTTGTTTGGGATCCTAAATGTTATAAAGTTCAGATCATTGTGGCACTCAAGATAAATGTTCAAAACAAATTTGATTGATCACTTTATAATGGTAGCTAACATCATCATAACAAATAAGGGTAGACCAAGGTAAAACTACATACAGTCAGTACAAATATTGAAATTTAACTGTTGTGAACCCTAACTCAGACTGGAAAAACGAACAACAAAACATCTATGCTACTTGAGGTGCATCCCACTGCATTAGTGATTCCCATGGTAGCGAGGCAGATCAGTCCTGATGACCTGCAATTTAGCAAGAAATCCAGTCAGAAAAAAATATAGTACAGAACACAGGGAGAGAAGTTGGTTCGATATGCAATAGGCAGCAGTAGAGGATAACAATAAACCTTGTAGAAACAAGGAACAGACATCAATTATGGATTTCCAGTATGAATTGTTTTTGTTGGGGGTTGGGGGAAAGTTTGCAAGCTAGTATAAGATCCAACTCTAGACTACCTATAATGTGCTTCTACTGAAACTCTGGCATGCCAATGATGGTGACAGAAGGCTATTCAATCATATGCCAAGCCAAAACTTGTGTGGATTAAGGTTGGCTGATGAATAATAGAATTAGGGAAATCTTAGTTGAACTAGACAATATTTGCAGTCACCCAAGAGTTCAATGAAACAAAATAACATAGACGCCAGGACCAAGAATTCTCCATACTTCATTTTATGCAGAATTTCAGACTATGATTGGTAGATACTGTACCACTTTTACACTATGAATCAAACAACCTAATTCTCATACATAGCAATGCATTAAACAAGGAATTTAAATTGAAATGGATATCTAAAATTACCCAAAATTCCTAAGGCCAATTACAGTAAAAAAATAAATAAAAAATTCCTAAGGCATGACCACTGCCCCACTTTCATTTGGCTCAAGCCAACTAAAAGCCTTAATCTGAACCTACATGAATTCATTCTCTTTAATCACTTTAATGTAATTTGGGTCAAGACATCATTGACATTTATAATACATGCATGCAAGTAAAAAAAAAAAAAAAACTTCGAAAAGTATATCTTTTGAGTGGAGTTTACCAGCATCAACCAGATCCGACGATAATGTTGTTGATGGGGATGAAAATCAGCTTGACGAAGAACCCTACAAATCCCATTACCACGAACCCGATCGCAGTTCGAACCGCTACTTTCGAGAATTCTACGCGAAATTCAGATACACCACACCGTCAATCCAATTAACCAATCACTTAATCAATCCATAATCAGTAGTAATCAGCATCGATAAGAAAAAAAAAAAGAGTATAGAAATCGTTGAATTAGTTACCTTTGCGGTCGGGCTTGTGGCATCTCTTGACGAGACGGACGCTGTCCTTTGCGAAGTCTCTAAGAGGATCAAACACCGAATCCAAAGCATCCATTTCTCTCGATCACGAAAACTTTAGCCTTTGCCGGAGAAGGGAAGCGATTGACGAGGCGGATTCTGAGAGGGTTTTTCTGATCTGGAAATGGCTCAAGTTTGAGTCAAATAGCTCTCCGACTTCGTATCATTACCAATCAGAAACAGCCATGTCAGACCATGACGTGGTTACAGAACTCTTCAATTGTCATTTACCAAAACACCCTTGACTCTGTGTTCTAAAAATGAGTTTTTTAAAGAAAAATACTACGTATACTCTAACTCCCAACTTTTATTTCCACACACAAAATATTGATGTTGACACTTGTATTGAAACTTACATAGAAAAATTATTTTATCAGAATCTGTCACTATAATGGAATAAAATTTGAGAGTACATGTAAGAGAATTTTTTTTTTTTTTTTTAGTACTCTTTTAGCCTCTCGGCTATAATACAATTTTTAATGATTTATTTTTTTTCATTATTCTCATTGATAAAACACACATAGATATAATTTTAGAATTAATTTCACTTTTGGTCCCACGACTTTTGATGTTCTATCACTTTTGGTGCACAACTTTAAAATTTTTTAATTTTGGTGCCTAACTTTGTTATTTTTATCAATTTTGGTCCTTTCGGCCAAATTGACTGTGAAATGTTGTTGGATTTTATATTGTTAGGGGTAAAATCTTCATCCCAAGGAAACATCTTCAATATCTAAACAAGATCACCGTAAAATCATATCTATAAGTGTTTGATGATGAGAATAATGGGGAAGATGGGTAGAAACCAGACAGATATATGGGATTTATAGTTTCGACCATTGGCAAACTCTTCTTTTCCTCTTAATATGATTTTTCTTTTGTTTAAATATTGAAGATCTTTCCATGGGATGACGATTTTGCCCCTAAAATATAAAATTTGGAAATATTTTACCGTCAATTTGGCTAGAAGGACCTAAACTGATAAAAATAACAAAGTTAGGCACCAAAATTGAAAAAATTCAAAGTTGTGCACCAAAAGTGATAAGAACTCAAAAGTCGTGGGACCAAAAGTGAAATTAATTCTATAATTTTACAATAACTTTATTTTGATATTAAAGATCTTTTATTGGGATGGTAATTTTACCTTTAAAAATATAAAATTTGATAATATTTCGTCATTAATTTAATTAGAAGGACTAAAAATGATAAAAATAATAAAAATAGGCACTGAATTTAAAAAAAATTAAAAATAATAGAATCTCAAAAGGCGTCAAATGAAAAGTAAAATTAATCCAATTGAAATTTTTGGTAATTTAAGAAGGGAATTATAGTCGAGGGACAGAAGTGGAAAATACTCTTCTAAAAATCGTCCCTGAAACGCGGCGGTCTCAGATTGGAAGAAAAATAAACCCCAAAAAGAAAAAAGAAAAAAACTCGTAAATCTAATGCTCAGACTGAAAGACTTGAGCCCCAGCAAAGTCTTGCTCTTCAGTGCTGCGATCTCGGTCCGGGAAACCATAAGAACACCGAAAAACTAGAAAAAGGTTCAATCTTTGATTGCAATTTCATCAATGAGCTTGTCGTGATCAGCCTGGATAGACCATGGAATTCATCAAAAGTTCAAGAATGAGCCCGCGGACCCGTTTCAGATTTGGCCTTTGCGCGGTGATCGTTGCGGTTCTCTGCGTACATCTATCTTGGTATTCAGTTTCTGCAGCGAATAGTAAACCCAAGAACGTGCAGGTGGCTCTCAGGGCCAAGTGGCCTGGCACCTCCATTCTTCTGGAAGCTGGGTGTGTTTCTTTTCAACAAATAAACTCTCTGGATTCTAAATGTAGCTGCAGAAGATATTTTTATTTGATTTTACACTGCTAAATCATTTTTAGTGGTTGATTTCCTGGTGGAGCATTGTTGTTTTTGTGCTCCATATTGTGCTGTTTCTTATGCCTCTATCTGCTACAATGAAGTTTTGTAGGAGTACCTGTTACTGGTATTCTGCTTAATATTCCATGTTATGTTATAGACAGCTAACTATACCCTGAACTAGCAACACATGCCAAATATAGCTTCTAGAGATTATATTATACTGTGCTGTTGTTTTAAGTGTGAAGAATAATTAGCAATTGGAATACCTTCATTAGTCTTTGGCTGCTCCTCAGTACATTAGTTTTTAGTGGAACCTGGAAATGGTGGCAAAATGTCCCCATGTTTTCTTTATATATCTTATAGTTTCCACATGTTTGGCAGGGAATTGCTATCAAAGGAATGGAAAGGTCTTTACTGGGACTTCATTGACATGTGGCTTCATTCTGCTGATGGAGATACTGATTGTAAATCTGCCCAAGATTGTGTAAAGAAAATTGGAAAATATGGGAAATCATTTTTAAGTGAATCCCTGGCATCAATGTTTGAATTATCTCTTACGCTTCGATCAGCATCTCCTAGAATAGTGCTATATCGACAGTTAGCAGAAGAATCTCTTTCTTCATTTCCTCTTGTTGATGATATCAGCTCAGACTCCGCAAGCGAGGAACTTTCTGAGCCAAGTGAAATCACAGAAACCAAAAAGGCTGAACCTTTCCTTTCAGGTGTGGATCAACAAAGTCGTAAGGAAAAATGCTGTTGGGTTGATACTGGTGGGTCTCTGTTTTTTGATGTCCCAGAGTTACAATTGTGGCTTAAAAGCCCAAAAGCAGTGTATGTCAAGCTTTCTCTCTTGCTCTATATTATGCTGTACATGGACACATATATTTGTGTGTGTGTCCATGTAAATGCATGTTTACAGTTTGTGCTAGAATTGACCTTTCAAACTCATGGCTTGTTGATTTTCAGTGCTTATAGTCCTTTTTTTTTTTTTTTCCTTTCAAATCTTTGTTGCAGAGCTGGTGATACATTTCAGCAGCCTGAGCTATTTGAATTTGATCATGTCCATCCTGATTCAAGTATAGGAAATCCCATCACTATATTGTATGGATCTCTTGGGACTGAATGCTTTAAAGAATTTCATCATATATTGGTGAATGCTGCCAGAGAGGTCCACCTTCCAAGACTCTTCCTAATATCTATTTCTTTTATTGACAAATTTTCATTTATATCTCTTAACGCACTTGTATCTGGTGATGGAGCAGTTGAGGGGGGTGACAATAGAAGATATTGTCATCTTTCTCTGTTCTAGTTAAATCTGATTGGCAAATATACTGACTTGGTGCTGTATATTAAAATTGCTTTGTGTCTTCCTGATCCTTGAGATAATATTTGTATTGTTATACATAATTTCATGACATTAAATATATGGTTTTCAATCTTTCATATAAAACTTTTTAAGCATAAGCTTCACGATAAAGTTCTATAGGGATTGCATGTGATTTTACAGTTGGGGGTAGGGGGGTGGTTAGAAAATATCTAAAGCTGCATAGAGTATACTCAAAGAAATTATGATACATAATCAGAACATAGTTGATTAAGCAATATAAATCGTTTCTCAAGTGTATAGTATCAGGAAAACTATTGCTCTTTTAAAACAAGGCATTCCTAGTATCATACAGGAACATGACCTTCAACGTTTACAGTCTTGGATTTTCAATTTGTAGCCTTATTATTTGTTTTCTTTCTTTATTTATTTATTATTATTTTTTTATGAAAAAAAGGACATCAGGTTTCTAATTGGATTTTTTGATATACTGATATTTCTTCTTCTCTGTTACAGGGGAAAGTTTGCTATGTTGTTAGACCTGTATTACCCTCAGGCTGTGAATCAAAGAGCGGTCCTTGTGGGTTTGTTGGCACAAGAGACTCTTTAAACTTGGGTGGCTATGGTGTGGAACTTGCTTTGAAGAACATGGAATATAAAGCTATGGATGACAGCATAGTGAAGAAAGGTAAATTTGTCTTGTTTTTAAGATGAATTATTCATTTACTTGACAGAATATTATGTTAAAAATGTCAAAATCTTCACAGAAGTTTCCTTTATGTTTTTAATTAATTTGTCTATGCAAGATTATTATGCAAGGTGCAAGGCATTATCGTTTAATGTTGACCTATTAAAAAAAATTTAAAGAAAAAATAGAAGAGAACTCTTGAATCTTGATATTAAGTTGATTATATCATCTTATTTTTTTGTTCATGTGGTGCGGCATCACAACAAGAATTTTGTTTCTTAGATAATTCGTTTTCCCTCTCATACAGGGTTATTTATGCTAGCTGGCTTTTCTTTCTTTGTTCATCATCAGTAAACTATTTTTATTATAAGGTTAAATAAGCAGCAATTATTCTTCAAATTTCAATGAAAACTTCCAGATAATATGTTGATCTATTTGTTTCGAAGTGTTGACTACATGTTGATTTTTTTACCTAGTTTATGTTCATGATCATATTTTCATCTGATAGTTTCAAGCCTTGCTCGTAGTTTGTTATGTTCTATTCCTCATTGTCTCAGAAACTGCTTTTAGTGAAGAATATAATCTAAACAAATTTCATAAGTGCAGGGGTCACTCTTGAAGATCCTCAAACTGAAGATCTTAGCCAAGAAGTCAGGGGATTTATATTTTCAAGGATTCTGGTACTATGCTATTTTGCTTTAGGTTGATTATGTGTTTAATTGATGTTTCCCTAACAATTCTTTTCTTCTTCTATCACAAACCTTTGCTTTCGTTTGCATAAATCTTTACTTGTGCACTTTTAATATGGAAATCAAAATAAAACAAAGAATTCTCAAAGCACTTGTTCATGCTTGAATCCTCCTAATGTTTTTTGGTTGTGTGGCCACCTTTAGGTTTGTCTGGGGTTCTCTCTCTTATGCTTCTTTATTTATCTTCCTTTCCCTTATGTCTGAGTTTGTTCCTCTTTTTCTAATGCAATATTAATCTTAAGCATTCTTAATTGAGGATAACTTAAACACTCTCTTCACCTACAAAACATCATATAAAATATTCTTGATTACAAATTTCTTCTTCGTGATAAAGCATCTATTTAAGTAGTGAGGAAAGATTGAGCCTATGTAAGAGGATCATTGACCCATAAATATGTCATACATTCCAAAAGACTATAATATACGTTGGTAGATTCACTTCTAAGGTTGTTATTGTGAGGCGAACAAAGGTCAGGGGAGCATATGAATTTGTGTTAAAAATGCACC